AGAAAACATGTAAGGAGCTTGGTGGAGCCTTTTTGGGGTTGACCAAACGCGAACTTGGACCTTTTGGAAAAAGAAAGAACGGCGGATTGTCATTTGGAAACTAAAGGGCAGCGTTGGGACGTGTATGTTTGCGGCGCACACCCAGACCGCCATGGAGCAACCCATTCCCAGCCGAGTGGGACGTACGGATCGTGGATCCTTTCGTATCTGAGTTGTGAATGGGAGCATCTTTGGGAGTCGATGTACCGTGTCTTAGGTTGTCTGTGGACGGCAGAACTGGAGATGGGCGATCCAAACTGCAGCTGGTGACTGGGGCCTTCAAGATGCGATGCAGGCGCAAGGACCCATGAGAAAAGAAGTGTAAGGTATCCATACCCGTACCTTCCTCCTCCTGACCCGATTGAGGGTGGGGGGAACTTCCTACAGAACAAGAAGAAGAAGCATGGAGGGTAGGTACTGCGTAGATACTCCGAAGGTACCTGCCTCATGCTCCCCTCTTCGCGTGCCTTCCTTTTGATGGTTGTTCATTCTCTTTCTCTCTCGCCCCCGGTCTGCTAGGCGGCATCGGGTAAGATGCTTCCTTCTCGGGGCATCGTCATCCCCTCGTAAGTGAGCTGAGTTGCGTCAGGACTGCTCTAGCTCAGCCCAAATGCCTGGCAGCCGGTTTCCCCGTTCGTTCAACAGTTCCAAGGCACCTGGATCGGAAAGGCTGGCTGAAGTGTCAGCTTCAGCTTGAACCCCCCAAGGGCTTGCTCATATTCAGTTTTCAGGCGGGCTAAGTAAGGTGCCTACCGGCCGACGACGACAATGGGGCCGTCGAACTCCCAAAGGGGGCGCAGGGGATCTGACGAGGACACGCCGTTTTTCGGAGAAGTGACAAAAAGGAAGGGCATCGATCAACGCGACACAATTGGATGCGGAAATGCAAATGCACTTGGGGAGTGGATAAGGGATCGGGGAATGTTACGTAGAGCAGGGGGGGGCATGAAGAACAACGGCATGGTCGTGAGCATCCAACTGCGTTCGTACCAAGTAAGGTACTTGGCGGCATGGCAGCCATGACACCGAGCAGCAAGGTATCCGCATGCACAATCGGATTCGTAGAGGGCCTTCAGCGATTGCACGATTGAGATGCAGCGCAAGCCAGGTATCCGTACCTAAGGTAAGGTAAGGTAAGGCGAGATGAGATCTCCATCCCGGCGCAAGGGCGGGTCGCAGATGCGGGTGAGGTGAGGTGCATTCCAAGACACCACTGACGGACGACGAAGGAAGACCGCGGCGGCCCTAGGAAGTGCCGTGGTGATCCCGCAAATGGAGGCATCCGTAGGGCAAGGTAGCTTCGGACTGACAGCCCCGAGAGCGTGTGTGATATGACGAGCAACAAGCCCGGCCGGCGGGAGGATCAGGAGGGCAACTGACTGAATGAGTGATGGGTGTGAAGTGTGTGAAGTGTGTAGTGTGCACGCGGCGCTTCCAAGCCACCAATCGGGCTGCGGCCGGGCCAGAATCACGAATCACGGTAAAAAAAAAAAAAAAAGGGCAGGAGCAACTGGGGAACGCCAGCCGCGATTTCCCCCCCTTCCATTTCCTCCCTCCTCCCTCCGGGCCCCCGGAAGCCGCCACTCAGCTCCTCCCCCCAGTGCCGCGGTCCAATAGGGTATCCCGAACTTCGACGACGGGGCCGGGCGCTGCTTTTTTGATTTTCCCAAACGAAACTCTGTCCGGCATGTTTGCGACTGCTCATAAAAACCAAAAAGAACTACTTGCACTTGCAAAGGCAGAAAAAAAAAAAGACCCCCATGAACCGACTCCCTGAGAAAAGAATACCCAAACGCCCCCTTTCATTCCAAAACCCCCAAGCATGACGAGAGGAAAAACAACATGTTAAATGAAAGGACGAGGGGAAAAAAAGAGGGCTCTTTTTCATTCTGTGTCTCTCCCGTCCCACGTTTGATTTGAGAAGCTAGTTACTTCATACGTAGTAGCAGGGCCAAACAGAGTTTGATACTGCCTCCCAGCATCAGCGCAGCGCGGAAACTCGCCTGGTCCATCCGGACAGAACTGAGAGCTGCCAAACAGGCATATCCCTCGCAAGCACACTGCAGACCTTACCTTACTCGATCGTCATATGTCGCCTCTTATTGGATCGTCCTTTTTTATCAACCTTACGGTTCTCACTGCGTGGTGCCCCAATCAACACACAAAGTACCCCAATTATAGACGGTATCAGTATGTACCAGTAGAGCCGCGCACCCCTCCATTACGTGCAGTCCGATCTAGCAACGTGCCAAACCAGAGATTCCACAAACTTTGTTCGACCCTCGTTGGTAACCTGCGCTGCGACCTCACGAACTGGAAACTGACGCAGTGTTCTTCTTAAACAGACTAGAACACATTCATGGTACCATAAAAAAAGGACATACTGCCGTTCACGCGCCCATGCAGAAAGCAACACTAAAGAGTGATTTACATGCTTAACGTTGCGAACGATTCGTAAGTACGCATTCGCATGTGGCGTTCGCCTCGTATTTTTGTGTGCGTGTGTAATTCTGCCTCTGCACCCCCTCACATGCTGGGTACTTGCAAATACCGTGCAAGTATTGCACTTTCCCGTCCATGTTTCGTCATAACTGCCGATGCCGTGACCTCTCCATGTAAAGAAACCAGAAAAGAAGAAAATTTGGGACCCAAGGGACGAGGTGGCATCGCGAGAGACATCACCAATCCCGAGAGAAGGGTGGGCAGTGTTGAGCCTCCTCCTCCCCCCATCACCACTATCGTCATCGCCATCATCATCGTCAGTTGTTCCAGCTTCTGCGGGGCTTTCAAAGTCACAGCTCGTTCTCTGCAGGGTTCATTGGACATCGGGTGTATGCAGAACCAGCACCGGATGTATCCCGTAACATTGCACAATACATTGCGGCATGGTACGGTTACCAATGATACCTCTGATTCATTCTTCTTCTACGTCTCCTTCTCCATCGATACGTGCGTACCAGAGATATGGATGGGGGCCCTTGGAGAGTGACCAAAAAAAAACCCTTCCGCGTGCCCATTGAAATGGAAAACCACCAGTGACCACACAACCCGCCTGCCGCAAAGTCGCAGCTAAAAAGGAAATCCCCGGGCGAATCCTGGGGCAGATCGAACAGAGCTCTGGAACATCCACTCGTCTGGGTTATTCTTCTGCTCGCTTCCCCCCTCGACCCCTGCCCTGCGCTAGCCTTTCGATCGACTGCGCGCCGGGGCCCAATGAGCGTGGCGGGGGGACATGCGATTGCGTTGGGGAGGGGTGAGTCCTAGGAGATGTACCCAGATTGGGTGCGTGTGGTTTAGGTGTGCTGTTGTTTGGGTGGATGAGCACCTCAGTACCTCAGGGCGCGTAGTATTTTGTCGCCGTAAGGTAGGTACAGATAGATTGGAGAGCAGAAAAGAACCCCTCCTCCAATTCACAACGTTGCTTTGCTCTGTTTCCTCTCCCGCTGGCCCCCTCTCGTGTTCGTCTGCTGCTCTCTCTTTTGTTTTCCTTAATCCCGCTATTTCTCCCAAACGGAGGGGGCCCCGGGGCACCGAAAAACAACGACGGGCACCAACAAAGGAAACACTGAACCCGGAAGCCCGCCGCCGCGCAGTTGCAACGTGCCTCAACCACAGCCGGACCTCGTCAAAAATGCCGTGTCCCGTCTTCCAGACTCGGGCGGCTTTTGGCTTTTTGGCTTGGTTCGGTCTTGTCTCACCTCGACAGGAAAAAACGAACAAAAAAAAATTACAAAGTGCCATCTCACACATTCACGCATGTCCCGGGTCCTTCTTCCTAAATGTAAGTACAATGCAAAAAGCAGGATGAACGCCTGGGTCCCGCCACAAGCCACAGAGACACAGAGAGAGCGAGAGAAACACAGCCAGACAGGCGGAGAGACATACAGACTCAAGACAAGAGAGACAGACAAGGACTCTGGCAGATAGACAGCTGCATGTATGTAATGCAAATGTACACACAAGCAACTTTGCGTCCTGCAGTCTGCGGCCTTGTGTACCACTGCTGCTGCTGCTGCTGCTACTCTCTCGCACAGCACACATCAACGCTCGTTCCCGAATGAACGACAATTCTTCAGCCATCGCCATGGATGGGGCCCTGGTTCCACCCCACCTTGTCCCCCCCTCGAACAGAGTGATCCAGGATCCCATCCCAATCCCCCATCGTCCAACATCCTTGCCCATGCCTATCCTGGGCCCCAACCTGGGTTCGCGCCACCAGTGACCATCGTTCATCGCTGGGACCTGCTGCTGGTCTGCTGCTGCTGCTGCTGGCTGCCCATTGACACACGCCTCCAAGGTCTCTGCTAGTCCCGCACCAGAAAATGTGATGTGTGCCAGACGCAATGTACCGGGCCTATGCTAGGCTAGGTATGTTTCTTTTCGTGCTTGCTTGCTTGCTTGCTGCTCTGCTGGGCCGTTCGTTCGCCGCTCCTCTCCCGCTGCTGCTGGCCTTCCGCGCGCCGGTTGCTCGCCGATTTACCTATTATCAGATGGCACCGCTCATATTTTCTTCTTTGCACTAGCAGACGCAGAGCAGGGACATGGAACACCCGCTCCCGCCTTGCGCCTTGAAGCTGCCTTCTCTCACCTCTCGCTCGCTCATACCACAAGCCTACCTGGTCCTTGCCAGTTTCGTCGGCCCAGAAAGGCCCAGTGCTTTGTCCTTTTTCTCGTGCGAGTCCAAAGAAACGGCAAACTATAAGTATCGACTGGCGCCGCCTTGGGTTTGGACATTATTCAGATCACCATCATCGGCCATCAACAGCTTGAGGACATTGCTTGAAGCACTTCACCTCACTCACCCACACACTCACTCGATATCTCCAAAACCGACACACAAGCACTAGAGCTCCCCGGGTTTTATCAACACCAACTCGACAACTGCCTTTGCATATTCACATCCATATACACGCCTGCACACGCACACACACACACAAAACCAACCACACAAACCATACAATATGACTTGCTCATCGCAATGCCAGGTCGACAAGGCCTCTCTCAGAAACCAACAACAGCCGTCATCTCCCACAAGCGGACCTAAACAGGTGAGCGAGCCCCCCTCCTGCCCCTCGCGGCGGCAACCACCACTACAGAGCCAGAACTAACTCTCTTTGAAGCATCTTCTCCCAGGCATTCGCTGCCCTACGTGCCATGCCTCAGGTAAAGAGGTGTGGGTACTACCCGGAAAAGAGTGCGGCTACTGCGGCACGCCCTGCGGCTAAGCCAGCTCATGTGAGTTGCTCCCACGTCATTGAGATCTGTGGCGGTGAGGCTGACCTTTAGCAAGCCCCAAATTCCCCCGATAAGGAGTCAGTAGCTGGGATTGCGACGCGATAACAGGCACTGCCAAAACTGTAACGATACCCTGGGACAACGGCGAACGGCGACACACGAGGGCAAGGGATTGGGAATAGGTGGGAAGGGGACGAGGGTCTGTTCGACTATGAGGTCCAATTTCATCTTTTTTTTTTTTCGTTTTTCGAGAGCACGGGTTAAAAAAAGGGGGGGAGGGGAGATCAAAACCTCTGGGGTGGGCCATTCTGGGTACCGGCCCTGTAATGTTAACGAGCCATGTCTGTCCGATTTTCAGATCGGTTTGCGCAATGGGAGGGGAAGGGAGTTCCCTCCCCTCCGAGCGGGAGAGACGGGAAGAAGATGGATGGAAAGAATGGCGAAAGACACGGCTACCAAAAAAGGGTCCCGGATCATGGAATTAGGAATTGTAATGATTACCATACGCAGATGCTTTGTTCAAGTTAGAGAGACGTATGAGCTCTTCTCTGTTCTCAACGACGTTGCTTTTGGCTGGACAGTGACACGCCCGATGCGAGCAGGTCGGGGTCGCATTCCCCGATTTCGATTCGGACATCCTTGCTGGGAGCTGCAGACCGAGATGCAGTGGACATGGAGCCGGAACAAATCGAATGGCTCCGATCACAACGCTGCCGGCCAGGACGGAGGAGGTTCCTTTGCTCGGAGATAAACCCGGTGCTGCTGGAACACTTGACGCCGATTTGCGTACAACGTCTGCGATGGAATGCGATGGCCTCGCTGTGGATTGCATGGTGGAGGTGCCCCCTGAGATTTACACCGGTCGCGATCAAGGTCGTATCGCAGTTGAGAAAGGGCAAAGAGACAAGGAAAAGCAACAATTACAGCTTTGCTTGCGAAGGAACCTGGCATCCAGCGGGTCCCCCAGGCCCGGATTTCGCACAAGGTTGCAAGCTGCAGATATCTGCAGGCATCGAAGACAAGGTGCTGTATGGACTCGCGCGAGTTGCAGTCCCAGTCCCAAGGTCCTAAATACAGTGGCAGCGGAAACGAAACCGCAGCATCGCGGCGGCCAGAATGAAAACAGCGGTAATGAGTGGTAAACCTCGGCCTGGATGCGCTGCTGGCGTTGCAGCTTTCAGCGCAGGTCCCCTAACAACCCAATCGGTCCCGAGCCTCTGGTTCCACTGACACATACAGCTGGACCTGGTTCGTTACACCCCAACGGCCTGCGGGTGGACGTCCTGCGACCGCATCGCTCCACAGTGAGGCAGAGGCCGGTTTGGTGGATGGAGCAAATCTGAGAGAACTGGAGGCGTGCGTGCATGCTAGCCTAGGTAGCGGCAGGTGAGCTGCATTATCCAGATCCGGTCCCAGAACCCACGCCCAGGTTCGTGATCTTGGGGCATCCAGGTCGGGTCTTGGTGTTCGGGGATGGCGCTGGATGCCGAAGCGTGTGGAGGGGCAGATGGGTCTTTGATGGATCTTGGGAGGCCCTGACTCCTGCTGCCGGGGGATCGTAATGCTTGCCCTGGGTTGCAAAAGAGAATGGCGAGGGGATGCGGGCTTTCTTGTCTCGCGTCGTCGTAAGACAGTGATATCGTCATTTATGACGAGGCGGAATGGTTGGTGTTGCTGTGTAATGGATATGTTGCGGGTCGGGCTAACGGACAAAAGCTCAGGGAGTATTTGCCGCGTGCGTTGCATGGCTGCGCGACAGCCGAGTCAAGCACGTTCGATTGCTGGAACTGCCTACCTGGGCAACTCGAGGTTGGATTGATTCCTCTTTGTCGATTCGGTCAATGGAGCAGGGGCTCGGGGCATCGCATCGCATCTGCAAACGACTGACTGGGTTGCGACGCAACATGGCCGGCGGGTTGGTTTGCTAGGGGCAGGGCAGGGCAAGACAAGACACAAAATCAGAAATCAGAATCCCGTAAGAATGGGGGAACGGGAAAGAGGATCGAGAAGGGCCAGATACTACACCGGTGTGCAAAGATGGGTGTCTTGGCCTGTTCACCGTCGTTTCGGAGGGCAATTGTGACTGTGAGGACTAAGTACGAATGGCTGAGAAAAGAAAGGTCGAGCAGAAAAGAGAGGGAAAATGGTGAAGAAAAAAGCAAAGTTTGATTGACGGTGCAAGGCGTAGAAGTTGATAGATGATGAGTCTTTTTTTCCATGGGCGCTGTGGCTGCCCTTTCCTGTTAGGTAGTTGCATCTGCACTTTGGGTTGCTCTTTCCTTAGCTTCCCCGTTCGAGTTACAGAAGTTCTTGCCCATCCCAGACCCAGGGAAACGCAGGTGCACACAGCTGCTGATTGGCCCCTGCCGTCGTTTCCTTGTCGTACTTTCCTCATTGATAGACTCCCGCCGGCTGAGCTACGTAGACGCTTGTCATGTGCTTTCCCGCCATCTGCGACCACATGAACACTGGATTGACAGACATCCAGGATCGGTGATTTGAATCTCCAAGTGATCTGTCTGTCCGATCTGTCATGCCCGTCCCCCGGCCGCAGGTCTCACCTGCTTGATTGCCTGGCTTTCCTTCTCAGGCTCAGTCAACACCGTCATTCTTTCCTTGCTGATGCCTCGTACGAGTACTGGAACCTGGTTTAAGGCGAATTCATGGCCCGATGGATGGAGCACGCCCGACCCTGAGTCGTTCGCAGCCTGGCCTGGATACCAACTGGATACCAGCTATTACACCACCAGATTCAGACTCACCTCAGATTCAGGAGCTCTAAACTGGGCCTTGACAAATACCCCATCAAGGGCTATTTTTTGCCGTATATGTCGGTTTCTGGAAATGCGGTGCCAAACGAAGGGAGTCCTTTAACAAACCTTATTTAACTTCCGTACGGCGAATGTGTTCCGTCCGTAATTCTAGTACCTGGCGTATTGCAGCCTCTTCGGACACTTTCAGGTCCCCGGCGGCTCCAGGCCAATCGATCCACGGTAATTCCAGCTTCCTAGCTTCCGGCTGCCGGGACCATCCCGCCACCGGCGGTCGAACAAGAAGAACAGTCGAGACGAATCATTACTTGGCCCTGGTGGTGCGCCAAGGCTTGTCAGTGTGTGAGAGCAGGTGGCTTTCTTGTATCAATGCAATAATCGAACGGCGTCGCATCACTTTCGCTTTTGTTTGCCCGCCTGGCCGCGTAGTCGTAAGCCCCTGCCCCTGTTTGGTGTTTACTGAGCAAGCAAATGTCCCATCATTCAGCAGCTTACCTCACCTACCTAGGTAGTTCCATAGCTAAAGAAAGGGATTTTTTGGGTGTCACCTCATGTTTCTAATAGGCGCCCTGGGCCACACCATGTTCGTTCTTGCAAACTCCTTCCTTGCTTCTTTTTTAGTTTCCTCAACCCTCAAGGTACATGGAGCCCGCACTCACTCAAGCTACAATAGATGAAAATGAGTCACCAGGAAAGCCATGACATGATGTGTGTCTCCGATCTTTGCTTTCGAGTTGTTGCTTCTTCTTGTCTCAACTCATTCGTATTGATCGGTGCAGCGCGATTCAAACTCCACACATGAGAAACACTCGAGTGGCCAGATTTAGACTCTGCGTCGCGTGCATGCGCATCGAATTTAGCAATTCAGAGTTGTTGCGTTCCTGCAACCTTTGGGAGAGAATGGCAAGGGAGCTTATCGTAACCATCTTACCCGTAACTTGCCTTGTGCTTGGCGGCTTGCGCCTTCTTCTGTATCGTCATCAGTCTTATCACGTCGTTTGCTGGCTGGCCTCGGTAGGTCCTACCTGAAAGAAGCCTTTCGTTCCCGGGACGGGACTCGGGACTTCCCTAGGTACCTAAGGTAACCAACCAGTGGCCGGATAATTCTCAACGGCTCTCGTTCCCATTGGTGACTTGCCTTACCTAAGCCTTCTATTTGGGCAATGCCCACGAAGGAACAGGCACCTTGGTAGAACAGCCTTCGCCTTACGTTAGGCCGAAAGGTAAACCCCGCAGAATCCCCGGCTTAAGGTTTGCTGCGCTTTCCCCCTTCCCGCCTTGACTCCACGTTTCCACGTCTCCCACCCCTTCCCCTTCCCACCCACGGCGGTTTTTTTTGCCCAGCCCGCCACTTCCCGACCTGAAGCCGCTGCCGTTGCACCTGTCCCGTCACGTCAAGCCCTGCCACCAAAGCTCCCGTCTGCTGCGCTGCACCTTGATTGAGCTTCTGCCTCCCCGACCTCAATTCAATTGACATCACTCCTCCGGCCCAACCCTATCCTGTCGTTTCTCCATTCCGCCGCTTCATAGGTAACATGAACGGCATTAGCCTCTTGTGCGATGCCGCGGGCTCCGACATGCTGAACACGCTCTATTCCCCGCCCGAACCACCGAAACAACCGGCCCCTCCCAAACGCAAACTGAGTCTCTCCGACGCATCTCCCTCCGCGACACATGTTTGCCATATCTGCAAGCGCGTCTACGAGCGAGCCGACCATCTGACGCGCCATCTCCGATCACACGAGAATGCAAGGCCCTATCAGTGTTCTCGCTGTCCAAAGCGATTCAATCGCGCCGACCTCCTGACCCGCCACGAGACCACCCACGACCGAGATTCCACCGGCAAGGGCCGAACCTTCATTCGGAGGAGCGATCGCGCCGCTGAGGCCTGTCTGAACTGCGCTGCCTCCAAGTCCAAGTGCGAGGTTCGTTGCTATCTCTATTTTTATGTCTTCCCGATGCCTCCCGCCGTCCACCGGGTCTGACCTCCACCGTTCCCGGCCGGTTCGTCAGCTCAGCCGCCGGCCGTTGTATCCGGTGTCCATCAGCTACCACGAGTCCTGCTCCGCCGCTCGTGTCTCCCGCCCTTAGTATCTTTCGTCCGAGCTGCCATTTCTGACTCCGTGATTGTCCATCATGCGGTACTGGCATATCATATCAAGAAAAAACCACTAACATGGCCACTCGCACAGGATGCAAAACCATGCTCACGTTGTCGCTCCAAAAGCCTGCCTTGCGAAGTCCCCTCAAAGCGCACACATCCCCACCGAACATCTACTGACGAGGGACACTCCACACCTTCCGAAACTTCCACGATGCATGCTGGGATGGACATGAATGGGGGAATGGACTCTGGCCCGGTGGCATATAGCAGCTCCAGGATGTCCATGATGCCCTCAAATCCTGACATGAGCCACGAAATGGACGGGCCATCATTCATGAACGACGGTTTCGCAAACCCGGTGATCGACATGGTAATGGACGATATCGTCAACTTCAACCCGGTCCATAATTACTTCCAGGATATGGACTTCTCCTCTTGGGACCTTAACTTCGACACCATCACTGTACCGCAAATTGATGTCCATCCGAGCCCGGAATCAACAACAACCAACCGCTCAAAGTCTGCCACCCGTAACGCTTCAAGAGCTCACGCTGCCTTCAAGCGGTCACCCTGGTTATGGGAACCGGGGCCCAAGGATCATGCACTTCACCATGCTTCTCCTCAGGATAAGGAGCGGCTCGTCTTTGATGAAAACAACTTGGCAAACTCGCCAGCATTCGACAAGCTAATCAATACGCCGGGTACCAAGCTGAAAATGACAGCTTCCGCAAGAGACAGCCTTCTAGCCCTGGTTGTGGCCAGCACGGTGCAAAAGGGAGCCCGTCAACGGACGCCCTCGTTTCCAACTCTGGACCTCTTGAATTATCTGGTTCAAGCCCACTTCATCCATGACGAACACCAGAGCGACAGCTGGATTCACATAGCAACCTTTGATGCGACTGCGGCGATACCCGAATTGCTCGCTGGCATACTGTCCAGTGGCGCAACATACATCTCCATACCAGCGGTCTGGCAATTCGGGTACTCTCTTCATGAAGTCCTGCGTCTCGCACTGGCAGACCTGGTGAGTAATGTATCCAGTTCTTTGCGGGTTTTCCCATCATCATCTGGCGTCTCGGATACGGTATCTGACTTACTATTGCTTAGTTCGAGGGTTCCAATACTTTCACCCGAGATCTCGGTGCTCTCCAAGCCTTCATGTTGAACCTCGACATCGGCATTTGGAGTGGCTTCAAACGGAAGATGGAAATTGCAGAGAGCTTCTTGCAACCTCCCATGACCATGCTGAGAAGGGCTGGCAACTTCTCGGCCCCACCGGACTCACCCTCACTCATTCCAACCATGGCCGATCCCCCAGATGTCCTCGATTCCAAGTGGCGCAAGTTCGCGAAGCGCGAGTCTTACAAACGGCTTGTTCTGCATCTTTTCTTTCACGACATTGAAACATCCATCGGCTTCTGTAAGAACCCACTCATGTCTTTCACCGAACTCAGCTTCAGTCTCCCCGCATCTCGTGACCTATGGCGGGCGCGAACTGCGGAGCAATGGCGCAGCATATACATTGCCAAGACCAACGCTGCCCCAGATCGCACCATCCCTAGGGTCTGTGAAGTCATGCATTGCACTGAAATTCTCGATGACCTTGAGCAGTTGGTGGACATGGAGCTTTGTTATATGGCTTTACTCCACGGATACTGGGGTCAAATTGGAGCGTACAGAGAAGCCATCAAGTTTTACACCGACGGCATGTCGAACAAGCGAAGCACGACTCACAAATTATGGCTCAAAACACAATATCAGGAGTTATACCGGGATCTAAACGACTTCTCAACAATGATCCTTACCTCCAAAAGGCCTACAGCGCAACTAGCGGTGATGTCTGAGGTGTTGATGATGGTACTTCACGTGTCACCCGACATTCTTCAAACGTTCGCGGGAAAGGCTGGCGAGGACGAGGCTCGACGAACGTACAGTAGCCTGGAGGAAAGCTGGGTCAAAACTTCGGAGGCTCGGCATGCTATTTGGCACGCAGGCCAAATTTTCCATCACGCGCGTCAACTTCCACCTGCCTCGTTACGAGACTTCAACGCCATTGCGGTCTACTTCGCCTGTCTCACTCTCTGGGCCTACGGACTGCTCTCGTGCTCCGCTTCTAGGCACGGGTCGGATCCGGAAGTGGGAAGTGGCAATAGATCCGGAGGCTATATCCTTATGGATTCGGAAGAAAACCGCGAGACGAGGGCATTCCTTCAACTCGACCGCGGTGTGCCTGGTCTGACATTGAACGGCAACCCCGCTGACGGTGTTGAATCGTTATCAAACCCGAGTGTGGTACTCTCTGTTGCACGAGACATTTTTAGGAACAACTTTCCTGTTGTTTCAGAGCCTTTGCCCCCGCTAGTTGAGAGCTTAAGAAGCCTTCTTCAAGATCTAGGTTCGGGCGCAGCAGGCCGACCATCGAGAGCTGCCAGCGTTGACGATATGTGACGTGGAGCAACTTTGGAGGCGACCGCTGTTGACCAGGACGGTATGGTCAAAGGCCGACGGCGTAGCCAGACCTAAAGCGCATTAGGGAATGATCTCAGACGGCGACGTGACAAGAAACTATCAAGCAAAATTTCCAACGGACCCTGTTGGTCACCATTTTTTACGATATTGTATGATAATTCGTTGTGTGTTTCATTGAGCGATTTTCATCAAATTTAGGCATTGCAAAGCGGAATCTAGGTAAACCAAGGAGAACAGAGACTTGCAGACTACTGGAAAGTACCTATGCTCAGCGACTAGTGAAGTCTCTCGATACTTAGGAGACAACTAGTGCACAGACCAACAGGGTGCGGAAATAAGTTCACTTAAGATGGATGGAGTAAGTAGGTATATCGACCACATGGCATGTACATGTTCTCCGTCGCAGACTTGGCTTACCCTCAAGCAGCTCAGCTAAAACGGTGAGCTGCATTCATCCTGATGCGCAGAATTGTGAAAGTTTCGACGATGAGAGATTTCCAAATGCGGCGACAAGGGTTGTTACGATATGAGACACGCCGCCCCCTTGAAGGACAAGGTCTCCCAGTATCCGTACCTGCGCAGCTACTGTAAATCATTGACAGGGATGGCAATGATCCCCACCATGATCGCGAATCTGAACCTTGGACGCGTCGCGATTCCCTACCCTGGACACTCCACCAGCATGTGCCGTTGACTTTGATTTCGGTACCGATCTTTTGGAAACATTTTGCAAAACTGAGGGCTGTAGGCGGCACTGCATTCATCATGGATTCTGAGGGAGCTGTGAGCATGGCAGAGACCGCGCCTTCTTCCGTACCTCCTGCTGCTGAAGCCCCTATGATGGCGACAGAAAGTGCTGGAGAAGCTCTGGAGCTGCCAGCCCCTGGAGGACTGACAAAAGAAATACCAACTGAGGAGCAGCCATCTCAGGTGCCCTCGGGCCAAGAACAACGAATTGCTGGAGATAACAACCAAACACCGCCTCTTCCTAGCAGCCCTTTGAGCACCAACGGCTGGGACAACCGGGAATCCTTTCACGACGATCTTTATCAGACCCTTCAGGCCATCAAGATGCCTGGGACATTTGCTTCATTCCACCCGATTAAGACTGCCAATGGACCTCTCAACCCAGGGCTCCATGTTGCCGATATAGGGCCCATTAGCTTCCCCCTCAAGGAGGAACAGGCTCGCAGCTTGATCGAAAAGACGAGGCAAGCCCCATTCGGCAAGGGCAGCGATACTGTCGTCGACACAACGGTACGAAATACATGGGAACTCGATCCCACGCAGTTCGAGCTCCGCAATCCTCAGTGGAATGCCATCATCAACCAGTTGTGTGCCAGGGCAGCGCACGACATGGGCATCAATGCACCCATCATTCCAGATTTGTACAAGCTGCTCATCTACGAGAAGGGCGCCATGTTCAAGGCTCACGTCGAGTACGTCATGCCCGTGGAGCCGTAGGCGTAAAGTAACGAATGTACAGCTAACCCTAGCCAGCACCGAAAAGATCCCGGGGATGTTTGGCACCATGGTTGTCTGTCTCCCGTCCCCTCATGAGGGAGGCGAGGTCGTGGCCAAGCACTGTGGGGAGACTAAGACGTTGAAGACGTCCAAGTACAGGGAAGGTTCCGTCGCCGTATGGTACTCTGATGTCTCCCACGAGGTTCTCCCCGTCACTTGGGGCTATCGCGTCGTTCTCACGTATAACCTCGCTCTCGACCCGTCGAGGCCACTTCCTTCCGCTGGTCTCCGGCGAGCCGAGACCCAGAAGCTGCGTCATTCGCTGAGGAAGTGGTTGAATGGTGGCGTCCCTGGCAAGTCAGATACGGATCACCTCTATTATCGGCTCGACCACGAGTACACCGAGGCCAACATCTCCATGGCGGCCTTGAAGGGGCGAGATTACGCGGTGGTGCAAACTCTCGATGACCTTTCCACAGAGCTCGAGTTTGACGTCTTCCTCGCAGCTCTGGAACTCAAGGAAGAAGGCACCGTGGAATATGATCACGGTGGGTATCGGTATAAAGACGACGACTGGGATGATGATGATGAAGGGTGGCATGAGTTGGAGGACGTCATCGAGTCTCATGAGCGTGTGAAGCTACTTGTTGGAGTTCACGGGCGTCCTGTCATGCGTGACATAAAGTTCGAAGTGGAACACGCCCTTGACAGCAATGATTTCTGGGTTGACGCTCCTCAAGAGGAGGACTACCAAGGGTTCATGGGAAACTCGGTCCGTATTTACATTGTGAAGTCTGAGAAGGGTTAGCTAATTTGCGTTCCAGGGACCTACCGCTACACACTGGTACCGCATTACGGTAAGTTAACTCTTCACACTGGCTTTCAACCGGGACATGCACTGATGGAAATTCTAAGGCCGTGTTGATCGTGCCTCGTGCAAACGTGGCGTCATTCCTCAAACGCAATCTCGGCAAAGAGGATAGGAGGTTGGCTTACCCTTCCTCATACCTTGAAAGGGACCGTATAGGAAACCTTCGGTTAGTCGTTTCGTATTTGACGCACACAGCCTCGAAACCGGGGAAGGGCCAGGCGTCGGCTTTCAAGGCTCTGCAAGATATCTGGGACACGTCAATCTGCCAACCTAGATCAACAGTTGCGTTAACCAGCACAGAGATCAGCGATCTGCTTGAAGCTGCCGTCCAGTTGCGGGAATGGGACTTCTTTGAAAAGATTGCTGCCGACCCTCATGGCTTGATCAATTCTTATATCTACGAGTGGTTGAGTAAGCAGGTCACTGAAGGCAAGGTCTCGTTCCAAGACATCAAAAAGGGGTATGTCCTGATTACCATACATCTCATATTATCTTGTTTGCGGAACGGGTGCTGACGTAGCAGGTTGACCTCCATGGTTCTCGGCTGCGAAAAGTTCTCCTTGCGAGTGCACATGGTCGAATCGTTTGCGCAGAACGGTTCTCCAGTCTTGACCGATGAGGTTCGCGAGTGGGCGCTGGACATCTTTTCCAAGGGACTGGCAATCTCCTCTGCTTCTGGCAGTTTTGTCGGCTCTGATGGGTTGGCTGCGATTTTGGCTGCCAGGCGATATGCCGACTTTGCCTGGCTCAAGTCAACGTAAGCTCTGCCGCCGTGCTTGCAACAGGCCGTCTCTAACAAATGTCGCAGCGTCGTCCCCATCATTGAGAACCACCTCAACATCCCAGCGTTTGCTCTCGACTTCCTGTCAGCCCTCTTCATGATCACCAAGAAGAAGATCTTCCCGGTACAAGAAGGTGTGCAGCTCTACAAGCGCCTCGCCAAGCAGTTCATCTCGCAGCTCGACTTCAATACTGTCTACGGCGACAGGCCGGAAGAGAAGAACATGCCGCGCAAGCGACGCAAAGACATTTCCGGGCAGCTCGGTCCCGAGGCCGACTACAACTACGACCTCGCCGTCCATCCCGACACGCTCGCCGATTTCTTCTCCCACCTCATCAAGCTGAGCACGCCACCGCAGGACGACCTCGTGGGGCCCCTCGCCATCAAGCTTGTAGGCCACGCGAAGCACATGAAGTGGAACGACTTCCACCCCCTCTGGCTGCCGTTCCTCAGGGAGCTCATTGAGCGGCTCGAGTCCCATAAGGTTCCCCTGACGACTCCCCGCTACCGCCAGATTGCCGGCGCTATCCTTGAGGCTTACCGCGACACCTACCTCGGCGAGAAGCCCTCGACCAAAGCCCGCGATGACAATGCTAGGGTCTCCCCCTGCTATTGCGGAGACTGCGACATATTGAATGAGTTTCTGCGCAACGGCAACAAGCAGCAGTGCCGGTTTTCCGTGAGCAAGCCAAAACGCCACCATCTGCATAAACAGATTGAGAACTACGGCATCAGATGCTCGCACGTCAGCGATAGGAGCGGTCCGCAGGATACGCTCGTGGTGACCAAGCTGGATCCAGCCCCAGGCGCCAAGTGGAAGGCGGCGCGGGAGGAAACGGCAGAGCAGTTCCAGCAGTTTGACCAGACGAAGCTGGGGATCCTGCTGGGTGAGGACTATCCGCGTATCGCGGAGGCATTGTGGGAGCGGCCCACGAATCTCGCGCCTGGCTCCGGAGGTATCTCTTACATGCCGGCACCGGTTCAGACTCATCCTCAGCTTCCTGCTCAGGCGTCGTACGCCCAAGCTCAAGCTCCGATGCAATCGACACATGCTCCTTCAGTTCAAGCACCTACATACCCGTCCGCTCAACCTCAAATGCCAGCTCGGCCCCCAGGGGGTTTGGCACCGCACCCGGGACAGGGCATGTACATCCGCGAACCCGACAACCAGCCCTTCCCTACCGCGCCTCCCGCCCGGTTCGGCGTACACCCTCCCAACAACTGGGTTCGGCCGCCGACGGTCCACATGCCTCACGGCGTTCCGGAGCCAAGACCTGCTGGCGGAGGATACCTATCTTCGATGCCAACAGTGCAGAACCATACGGGCTCCGGCGGGCAGGCCCCGACGTTCGGATCGTCGGTCGGTGCTGCGCCGCAGGTGCAACCAAATCAAAGACCGCACGGCGGGCCTCTGGCGCCGATGACGGGCAATGCGGGCGGCCCCCCACCGCCGGGACAACACCTCCCCGGCATCAATAACATGGGCCTGCCTCCGTCGGTCGCGGGAGCGAAACGCAAGGCGGAGCCCGAGATCATTGACCTGACATGAGGGATGGAACCGCGAAACAGATAAGCCCAAGAACAATAAAATGAAATGAATCCGCGTATCAGAATTGTTGAGTGAATGGAGCCCGTCGGTGATTGCCCGCAACGTTGACGATTCAGAACTTTTGAGACTTCAGAGACCTGTTCAACACGACAGACACATTTACAGAGACTAAGAATGCAGTGCAACCGTGTCTTTGATGGCATCTCCGAATTGCCTCACGCGAGAGGGAGAAGGGAACCCGAAAATCTCTCATTGAAATTCCCGTAAGTGTGAAATCTATTAAGCCTCTTTTAATGACTCGTCCCTCCCTGCGCAAATGCTTCAATTTCTCGTGTGTATAATTGCGATCGGCCCGTTTGATGCCCTCAAGTGTCTGCTCCCGGACAGAAGCGGTGAGTCTGCGATAGAGTCTTGTTGCAGCGAGCAATAAATCAACGGTATCGCCGCATCGACTGAGTGCAACCGTACGAGGTTGATGGTTGATGTTGTCGAAGTTTGCTCGCTCTCTGAATCTTCTATTTGTGCACGGGAAGCACAAGAAGATGTGCAGTTGGTTTGGATGCACAAGTTTTATGCTTAATCAATGCGGGTCGATCAAGCGAGGGCCAAGCCAAGCCAAGCACTCCTCCCTCCTCCCTAAAAGCAGCGACCTCAGACTATCACTCAGCTCGTTGCTCGGCACAGGTGTTTGCCGGGGGTGTATCTTCATCTCAGTGAGATGAACGCTCGATTGCGATTGTCCCACCTAGCAGAAGGGGACTTCGTCATCCGTCATGTCATCAATTCCCATGATCTGATCCCCCCAATTTCCACCTCCGCAGGAAGCACGGCAGCCCCGTCATTTCTTCAGCGAGAATGGGAGAAGGCAAAGAACCCCCAATCGTGGTTCCGTGAGAGTGATGTGCAGTCTGTAACACGCCCTGACGACAGGCCTCCCCTTACTGGCGTTCCATTTCGGCAACAGTATGGAGTACTCGATACTCTGTGGCCATTGCCCCTGCTATTTTAAGCAGAGACAAACGAGAGTGGGACTCTGGGGTGGACTTCTTGCATCGTCAAAGTCAGTCGTCTCCCACACAAACCCCATCTCGTATGGGCCGACGATCCCCATTAAAAAGTGATATCATGACATGCTAATGTCAGGTTGAAGACTGACGTTTTAGCGTATGTACCGGGTCGAGTGACGGGAAGCCAGCCAGCCGACCAGCCTCGCGGTGCCTGGTGGGAAAAAAGCCACTAAAAGCTAGCAACCGAGAGAGGTAACTTAATCAAGGGCGCGCGGGTTGTTGGGGAATCCCCTCCGCAGTGACATTCCGACATGATCAGCGTTCGCTCGCTTGTCAGTTGTCAATGTCGTTCGTTCCGCTCGCTACCTTTAGTTGGAGGTGCTAGAGGCACGAGACGGCCGGTGCGGTGGTGCACTTCTCCGTAACTTTTACGGAGACCAACCACCGCCTCACGGGGCACCTCGCCACCAACCCGGATCGGGGGGAGATGCGCTCGGGGTAAGTGGGGGTAAAGTGCGTGCAGCACCGGCGTGCTGCTGCTGTTTGGCCAAAGAGTCCTCAGTCAAGTCAATCAAGCTTACACTGACACCGACATACAAGAGATCCGACCGAAAGAAACTCTCAACGGCCTGCGCACTTGATTTCCCGCACATACCCCAAACCAAAGTCCTCACGCCATTCGAGTTGACAGTCGGAACTGCCGGCCAGTCTCGGGCCTGATCGAAAAGGGAAGAGGGGGAACTGTACCCCGCGCAAACACAGTTCTCGACATCTCGTCCCAGTGACGTAACCGCCACTGTTTCCCGATCATCTGCAGCGCTTGCATATCGTCGTTCGCAAAAGGCCGCTTCATTCAACCAGCATAGTCGTGATCATGCCGACCCAACGCAGCAGCGAGGCCGAGGTCAAATCGTGGGGTTTTCCCCACGTCTTCACTTGGACCGATGGACCGTATGTAGTGCTAGTCTCCTACATGTGGCTGGGCGACGACTTTCTGTGCTTGCAGCGCCCATGAAGTGTTATCCCGATACAGAAAACCAACGGCAAACTGACACCTGAATCTGCAGGAACGCGTATTATCCCCCGCATTCGCATCACGGTCTGACAACGCATCTGATCTTGAGAGGGAAGTTGACAATCACCTATCCCAAGGATGAACAGCCCGAGAAGGTTACGTTTGGCGTCGGCGACCGCATTGATGTTGACGCTGGCCGCCTGCATGAGGTATGGATTGGAGATGAAGGATGTACTTATGTAATTGGAGAGTAGGCAATCGACATAGTGAGAGGCCTGGTGTGAGGCTTTGTTTCGTCATGTGTCCATATAATCTGCAAATGCCTCGGAGAATTTGTTGATCGTCATGTCAAGCCTATCCCGGACTTTTCGGAATGTGGACGCGGATCAGGTACAACGCCTCGACAACCTGGGTCTCGTCGAAACGTCTGCTTGATTGGAATCAAAGAATGTCCTGAGTAGACCGCTCTAGTCCGTGGTAAAGCAGAATTGTCTCCGTAAATCTAGACGTGAACACCGACGGCCTTGGCCGCAGGCTTGACCAAGTTTGAGTTTGTCTGCTACTCAATGCGACCACCATGACTACTGCTCAAGTGATCGATGGCCGAACGCCCGGTCAGAGCGTTGGTCCCCTTTTCTGAATCCGAAGAAAAATGCACTGGATGAGCTGCCAATCCCGCCGGAGGTCAAAGTTGCGCATCGAGCATCCTTGATGACCGGGCGTGCCTTTTGTCGAGGTTTCACTACAACATCGAGCCGCAGCGCCAAGAAGCGGCATTGTCATTGGAAATATCAGCTCAAGCATACGCAAGATGCGACTTCAGTCGAGGAGTCCGCGAGTGCATGGGCGGAGGGATGAAGGTCGAAAATGTGCCCTTCAGGTGAGTGTCCTTGACGATAGACAGTCCCTTGCGTTGGCTGACGACTGTGTGTCAGCAAACTTAGTGATTGCAACAGAATAGAATTCGCCCTGTCGTGGTGAAAGAAACGATTTTGAAACGAGAAGGAGTCCTTTGCCCGTGCACGTTGGCTATGTATGAAGTATGGAGGTCTCCCGACTCATTCAGGGGACCGGAGATCAAAACGTTCCGGAAGGTCATGGAACCCCAACCTCCTTGCCGACGAGGCGACTTTCGTCCGTTCAATGCGGCGAACTGACTCAAATCTGAAGAAATGTGTGCCAATGTTGGGACGGGCTGTCTTGCGATTGAGCTTGGTGGAGAGCGGATCGGTGAAGCTTGCGTAGCCTACTGACGTGCTTTGTTTTTCCCAAGGATGTCCAAGTTCACAAGATACTGCGCCTTGTGCCTGGTTGCTAGACAACGATTTCCACGGCAGCATTTTGTTCTCTTGGATCGGATTGTCTGGCTGTAAGCTCAGCATCGCTTCCCGTTGACGGATGACAGATGGGGAAGTCTAGGCGCAATAAGCCTAGAAGGATCGAGCTCTGAATTTGAGCACTGAGCAACATCGCGCGGATATTGAAAATTGTTCGTCCGTGGGCGCTTGGGACGTCATTCAGTTTCTCTGCCATCGTCTCATTATGGCCTTTGCCAGCAGCTGCCAGTAGCATCTGGGACAGCCACTGTCTTGTTGCAAGCATGCTTTGGATGACCACGAATAACGTCCAACCATATCGAGTCATTTTGGGGCAACCGTCAGCCTTGACTCAAGGCCACGCGGGAGACATGAGTTCACCGGCTTTCCTCCAGGTTGTACAGTGGCTCGGAAAAAAGGGCGGTCACCGAGGTTCTGGAGCAATTGAATCAAGTGCTTGCGCCGAGTCGCGCACCGCAGACTGACGTGGACAGCGCGCTTGCGCAAGTTCTGCTTCAAGTTGAGAGTTTGGAGACATCCGCCAGCTTTCTTTTACCGAGCAGCCGGATGTCGTGCGTCGGCGAGCGGCAACAGGCCGAAAAACAACGAACTGGCGAGATGAATGGAGTGCAGATCAATCTGGCTCAAGGCGCAACCACCTTCAGGTTGCATGATCATCCGGCCTTAAAAAATGGAGCCGCGGTGCCGTTCCATTTGCGGTGAGGCGCTCCGACGATGCTCCGAGGCGGCGTACTCTCGGTGCAGTCTACGTGCTCGGTTTGATATGGCGGCTGTTTCGACTTGCTATGGGTCAACAGCGCACATCCGACGTCGCAGCGTCGTAAGGCGCATGTTTGGAAAAGCCTTGGTCGTGGTAGGATTAGAGACCGACTTTGTTGCTTCGTCCAGCACCATCGTCCAGCTAGTTTGTCCCGCCCGATAGACAGGGATGGGAATAAAAACATTGCCGGCCAAAAAAGCGGTCGAAGTCTCAACGATGCTGCGGGCTGGCGGGGTTCGAGCTGATAACAGACATGATAAGTTTGAACCGCGGAAACACGGCCTGCCAGCGAAGGGGAAGTACACAATACCTCCCACGCTCCCCGCGAGTCCTTGGAGGTGGACAATCTTGCAAGTTGCCACGAGTTTTCGACCTCCATGGGGCCACCCACTTGCATCTTCGGCCGAACAAGCACCAAGTGCACGGCGCGTCGTGGTTGTTCGTGGCATCGACAGGAAAAAAGTGCCCGTACCTCACGGAGTCAAGTTGTGCAGTGCAATTAACGGTCTGGAAAGCCGCTACGGGCGATGGCCGGGAGCAGTGTGTATTAGCAAGCGAGTGCAAGCAGCGCAGCGCAACGTCTCATTCTCGAGTGTCTGAGACTGTTGTTGGCTGGGGGTCCTGGGCAGAAAAGTCGGATCCTGGAAATCCTGGCAATTGCGCGCACTTTTGGCGACTGCAACCGTGCAACGTCGCTAGGAGCTTTTTCGCGGTTTACAGCTTGTTAGTGGTTAGTGTGTTCGTACACCACAGACGACGGTTGACCCATCACCCTGGCTGTCATTCCGCCCACTCGGAGAATAATCCACTTGCAAATTGTGCAGAATTGAGAATGCGATCTCGATGGCGGCCGTTGTCCGTGTTCCCCAGCGTGCATGTTTCGCTACCCATCAACGCTGAAAACAGGACTCTTGTGGTACTGAATGACGTTCCCCAAACGTGGCTTGCAGAATAGGCTGGAAACTCCTGACTGACTTTCAATGTGCGGGGAGGGGATGGTCGCACTGAAAACAGGCAAAAGTAAATTGCATGCTCGGCCGATGAGCTCTGAATGATGGAAGGTTGTCGTTATCGACAGACTGTGTATCCGCAGTGGAAAACCTGATGCGGCCGAGAAAGGGCAATTTCACGAACCCTTGAACCTTGTTCGGCCGGCGCACCGAGCCAGGTCTGGTGGGGGAGATTGGCCGCTGTGACACCAGAAGGAGGCTATTCCACGGCGGCTGGGAGCCATACTCGGTCCATGTCAAGGCATCGTGAGGAGGCAAGGCACGACGGAGTCTTGTCTTGGTGCTCGCAATACTCGGATATTATGATGCTGAATACGTGCAGAATACGGCGGCTCTCATTTGACGGAGTCGGGGAATTAGAGTGCTTCCATGCAGGACGCGAATACGTGCTTGGCCGCCGTCTGAAGGTCGACACCTTATTCCAGAAGTATGAAGGCTGATGACAGGGAGTGGCTGTTATCGGGGTGCGGGCAGTCTCAGATTGTCTTGTCCGACGTTGAAAGAGTGGCTGATGGGATTTGGAGATCGACGACGGGCATCCCTTCGCATGCACGAACTGCATCGGGTTGCCAGAAGTCTGTTGTGAGGCGACCAAGCATATTGCTTGAAAAGAGAGCGGAGGGCAGGACGTGTGATGAGGATATGCTGGTCTTTGCAACCCCCGAGTGCCCCATCAAGTCAAGTGCCACACTCTGAAACGAGCACCTTCACTGAGCCTCAAGGGCAACGACCAGACATTTTAGTGGCACAGCCATCGACCGCGTGCCTGGCCCCTTGTATCTGAAAGGCTACCGATACACTGACGGGAGTGGGATGCATGCATCCACACCGGGCAAGGTGAGGTCGCGGGCACCGCCAGCGGCCGATAGGGAGGATGAGAGACGAACTGATGATTTGCGTTGACCACGGACAGGCAGAGCACGCCAAATGATGGCGAGATGAGGGGAAGCTATCCCTGTCGGTGTCCAGGCCACCACTTGTGCAGTGTAAGAAGCTGGCGTCGCAGCGTAGTACGAAAACGAGCGCGGGCGGGGAGAAAGAGGGCACATAATGACCGAACCAGGTTAACTAGAAATCTGGATCTGATATACGATAGGGTCAAGGAGAATAAGACGAGGGGAATTTGGAAGTGATGGGAGCACCACGGAGCGGTAGTCGGCATCGGAGGAATAGGTTGATCGGATGCCGTGACCTGGGGAAGATGCAGGTCTGGCTTTGATCGAAAACTGGTCTGGTCAGGTCAGGTCAGGTCAGTCCGGTCAAGCGTGTGGTCGCATCTGGAATTTGCGAGATGCGCATGGGAAAGTGAGCGAACCGGAGATGGCGCTATGTTGGTTGAGCAAGCGCCCAGGGTCCGGAAGGAGGAGAGCGAGGCCACTACCTGGCTAAAGACAAGACACACACACACACACAGCAGACACGGGACAGCCACAGACAGAGCTTGGTGGTCCTCACCTCATGCAGTAAACGTGGGTTTTCTGGCCGCGGAGAGAAAGGCCGGGTCCTCGAGGGATGGAACCTGCCATGAGCGACCTAACGCAGAGCAAGGGAAGGAAGCCAGGAACAGGAACAGGAACAGGAACCACCTCGTGAATAACACACGGCGGCGGCAAGGGCAGGACGTGGAGCGGGCAACTCCAACCCTAGGAAGGTGAGGTCGCAACGTGGTGGCTTGACGGACTTGGGATAGGACGAGGGGGCTAATCGTACCTTCCCAGGTTCTCTGTCGTTCCTTCCCTTGAACTTCCCCTCACTGCGACCTTCCTTCCGCTTCGTTGCGCATGGCAGCAGGCTGCTAGGTCTTTCTGATTTGCGAGCTGAGGTAAGGAAGGAACGGCAAGAAACACGCGAGGTTGGTTTTGGTTGCCCCTGCCGTAAGTAGACGGGAAGGAACGAGGAGGAACAAACGGAAGGACCCAACGCACCGCACCGCACCGGCAGGACCTGGAAGGGAGGAAGGAAACAAACACCACATCTGAGGCAGGAAGGTGAGCAAGTAAGGTACCTACCTCAGCGAACCTAAGGTACGAAAGAAGATCCCGATACTCTGGGCGGGCTTTGGCGATTGCCTTGCACTAAAACAAGCCAACATCGCCGTGCCAGGAGAGTCTGACGCCCCCAAATTCCCCATCCAAGCGGATACAAGTCCGCAGCGCTGAGAAAGGAAACACCTAGCCCGAATGGCTCCAATGGCGCTGGCGGGGCCGATCCGGGCCTCGCAATCCCGACTTTGGGCGAAAGCCTTGCACCCAAACACCAAGCCACCCTTCGAATACAATGCTCATTTTCCACCTACGACGTCCACCTCATTTCACTACCTAAACTTACGCAGTACGGACACAGCCAGAAAGAACCTTCGTGACGATGATGAATCAGGGCGTCTGCCGCAGGTAAAGAGGTAACAGGTGCCGCGCCCGCGTCATGGCCTCGATGCGTCCCGTGTCTACTGATCCAATCAAGGACTTCGATGCATCCATCATCGTCTCAATGTGTGCCCGAGCCACACCCACTCTCCCACACCACACGCCTCTCGGCCACGCTGCTGCTGCTACTGCTGCGGTGCACACCAACACCTTTTTCCACACAGATCTTGGTCCTCCATCGCCCATCGTTCAGCTTCTGCGTCTTGCTGCTGCACCCTCCATCGTCGTCCATCCAATTGGGGTAACCGCCCAGTTGCCTGAGCGTTCCGAGACATGCAATGACGCCTTGTCTTCTCTCTTGCTCCTTGCCTTAGCTTACCTCACCTTCATTGCCGGCTGCCGTTTTCTGCTTCCTGCCCAGTATCTGCACCTTCGGTGCGGCGAGCATCTCACCGCGTTGGCTGACGGTCTGGCTGCCCATGGCCACCTGCATCTCGGACACGCCTAATCAAAGCCCGCTCGCTACCTACGCGCAACTTCATCGGCGTCAAGACGCCAGCTCCGCCCGTCAGCCTGAATGCCCGTATCAGTTCATTCCAGCCGTTGTCCGGAGCCAGTGAGGGGCGAATATGCGCACAGCTCGATCTGATGTAGCTTGCAGAGTGCAGCAAAAAGACAAAGAAACCCGTCTGGGTACGGATACATCCACTCACTCGGGTGGATATCGCAGCCGCCTCCAGCCTGCAGCTTCCCTACCTAGCCTGACCCATTACCTCCCCATGGCGGTGCCGCCGTCGTGGCTGTCATGGTCGCACAATTAAGCCATCATGTCTGGAGAAGCCCTTTGTAAGCCAACGAGACAGGACAAGGGCGTCTGTCTCTCTGCCAAGGACCAACGCCAGACCCGGCCAGACCGCAACATGAGGGAAGGAAATCTGGATGGTATCAATCAGACGAAAGAACTGCACCACCATCCCGTCTTGAGGTCCATCGCGCCTCATCCACATCCTGGCTGCTGGCTGGCAATGGTGGTTCCCCCGGACGGCACGCTCTAGGGAGTACATGGTACTTTGACACCTCACCTTGCCTTCACCTCACAGCAGCTACCATTCGTAAAGTAGAGTCCAGAGCGAAAGAGAGAGAGCGTCACCTCCGCCTTTACTGGGTACTCGATGCCGCTGGATGCCGCTACACCCATACGGATGGCCGTCCGGCATGACTTGGCACTTGAACCCCCCCCAACCACGCTTCATGTCCAGACCAAGTGCGAAGGACGTCCCGCTCGGCCAAGACGCATGCCACTGCAGCCCTGCATGGACCAGCAACCGGCCAGCGGCCATGGTCCTTGGAACCTGGAAGAGCCCTGCCCATTCGCTGCCGCAGGCGGTACTTTGTCCCTTTCCGCCCTTCTCCAACCCACCTTGCGCGTCTCAAACCATGCACTTCGTCACCGTCAGTTCCACCTCCTGGATTCTTGTGCATGGCATCTGTTCGAGCAGCAGATGCCATCTGAGGCCCATTCCTACACCATACACCACCATGCCACCACATTGCCCGCTGCTGTTGCCGCTGCTGCTGCCACTGCCTAGTACCTTACGCAACGGGCTCAGTACGGGCACAAGGGCAATACTAGTTTTCTAGGTAGAGTACCTGAGTACCTACATACATGCAATGCCTGCTGCCATGGAATAATACACCGTGACCTCAGACATCGCTCCCGGTCCAAACCTGCTTTTTGGCCCTGGTGCTTTGCAACCAGCTTCGCAGTTCCCGTACTGCTCCCGCTCCCACAACTCCGTTGGCTGCATAGCAAGCGTGCACAACTCGCAGTTGATCCTGGTAACTGACTCTTATTGCCCATGCCCACGTCTTAAGACGTTCTATCCGTACGGAGACCTTACCTGGAGAACGGGCAGACAGGCATGCTCTCTGATGTGGAGCATCCGTCGGGCTTAATCGATAGACGCTCGCTCGGTCTGGTCCGGTGCGCAAAGCCTCAGACCCATGCCATCTCTGCTTTAATTGCGCCTATCCCACCATTAACCACCGCCTTTCTCTGTTCGTCCTGGTCTCCATTTTGGTGATCTATTAGACCCCAAGAGTGCCCACCCCTTTCCTCTTTGCTTCACTGATCGCGCTGGTACTTGACCTTACCTCGCTCCTACCGTGCTTGGGTTTTTATTTTATTCATTCACAGTGAGCTCTTCATCAACCGGCCCAAGCTTATCACGCCATTATCCTGACCCTTCCCGCACAGGCGCACTTGCTTTTGAGATCCAGGGAAAAAAAAGACGAAACCGCGAGTTCCAAAAACAGAAAGAAGGCAGGCTACGGAATATTTGCGCGGCATGGCAGTGTCAAGGTCGTCGTAACATCATCTTGCCGGCTGGAGCTCCTCAGCCTGCCCTCCGACCTAAGTCTCTTCTTCGCCCACCCGCCTCGTCTTCACCGGTTTGCTGCAACTGCGATCTGGTGCAGGCGCGAAAACCAGGCCGCAGTCAAAGTGCCAAAATGGGCAACACACACTCGATCGAGTCGATTCAGCAATCCGACCTTCACAGCAGCCCCAGCAGGAGAGCACCTCAAAAACTCTCCAAACCGAGAGTCGGAAACCATGGCTCGATATCTTCGGCACAGGCAGCTGGCCTACTAGGCAGTCACAGCCGCACCGGCTCCGTCAGCCTCCCGCCTTCTCGATCGAATTCCCGCGTCATGTCTGAAGCTTTTTCACCCGAGCCTCCGACCACCAATGAATTGCAGACCGACACATGTTCGCCAGCCGAAACTTTTCCTCCAGTACCACCAGAACCCGAGTCTAAGCCAGAAACGCCGGCCAGAGACTGGAAGCGGAGAGCAAGCTTATTCCGCTCCAAGAGCTCCCAAGAGGCGCGTCGCAAGGATAAGAGGAGGCAGACAATATTGGTGAGCCCTGAGGCTGAAGATAGGATGTCGAGGGCAAACTCTATGACTTGGGAGTCTCAGAAGGACATGGACCAAGCCAGGCAGCTCCAAGTGGACAGGTACGTGACACCGGCTGGCCGCATGTCGGTGCACTTTAACTAACCTCCTGAAACAGCTGGCTCGTTCCTGGAAACCGACAATCCATAAACTACAACTTGATGTCCTACGAATCCAGGCGATTGCTAAATTTGAGTGAAGACCTCGCCGCTTGCGAGGAGAATTCCATCATGTCCGACAGCAAATTCGAGGCTTCACCCTTCCAGGTGACGGCCAGTACGTGGAAGAGTTCGCATCCGCACCAGCCGCCGGCGACAACACCAGCAACACCAGTAGCAGCACCGGCAACACCACTGCCACTGCCACTTCCTAGGGCCAATTCTGACGTTTCTCTCTACGCTCCAGTCCGGCGACGATCCATGGTACAGACACCAGGAGTCGCGACTCGCGTTCCTTCGGCAACTGACTACTACTACTCCGCATCGAGGAGATCAAGCTTTCGGCACAGCATGCCGTCGACCCCAGCCGGCGGGCGATCGAGATTGAACTCTATTGAAGGAGGCTTCATGGCCCTGAATGAGCTTATAGAAGCAGAGCCCATGCCAGAGCTTCTGCCGCCGCCCGTCCAAGAGCCCGTTGAACGTGCCCTCACACCTTCCGACATGGACTATCGACCACTAGGCACGATGAAATTCGGATCGTTGCGAATCACGAACGGCGAGGCTAGCCCTCTTCCCAGCCCGGACCTCGAGCCGTCAATCGAACACCAAGCGATGGCGGAACAGCTTGCAAACGACGATCTGAAGGGCGAGTTGGAGTATGGTAACTACGAGGTTGAGATTACTGTGTCGCCGGTACAGCGTGGTGCTACGCCTAAGGGACTCGGTCCGATTGAGACGACTTTGCTGGGGGTGGAATCACCCAGGTTACGAACAGACTCGTTAGTGGCCTCCCTTGCCAATTCCTGCAGAAGACGTCATTTATTGTAATAAATCGTGAGAAGACTCACGCTGACTCCACATTAGGCCGCTCAGCCCCGAGCTAAAGGTTGCATCCAAGCACACAGCAATGGAAGATCAGCTGTTCGAGGACGACGTGCAAGTTGAATATTCGGCCGAGATTCTAACCGTCAGAAATGACCCGAACGCGAAACCGTCTCTTGAGCAACTGCAAGCAGACCAGTCTCAGAAGCAATACCAGGGTGTCGTCCGCGCTGACAGCGGAGTCGTCACCAGCCCAACGACGGAATACCAGCCTAACAAGCCGCTGTCCAAGGCTGATTCCGGCTACAGTTCGAATGTCTCATTGAGGTCGTTCCATGCCAAGCCAAATGCGACCGGAAAAGATCGACCGGCACGCGTAACCACGGAGCAATCGGGCGACGAAAAATCTGTCTCCAACCCATCGCCCTTGGTTGCTGTTCCAGCAATCAGCACCATTAATATCGATCAGGTTGCGATTGATGCAGCTGGCTCAGACTCTGCGTCTTCCACTCCTCCGCCTGTGCCACCCAAGAACGATTCCATGACTTTGCCAAACGCTAACACGATGACGATCACCTCTCCGAGACACTTGCAATTCTTCAACCTGGCTCGTCGGGACCGGAAAACGACTTTCGATATGTCCAAGGCCGCGGAAATCGGCCCCACATCCCCGCAGCCCGCTGAATCCAGCGCCGCCGACCCCGATAAGCCTTCAGCTATGACAATTGGCAGTGGCTCTCAACGCGCAAGCAAGTTTCAGCGGTTCCTCACCGGCTCTGGTATGCGAGGACCTCCGGCTGTTCATGACACCCACGCCGCCAATGATGCCGTCCCTACTGTACCTCAGGATGTCCAGACCAAGCTTGAGGAGCACACTGGGCGGTTCCCGTTGTCGGCCAGGAGGTTGACTCTTCGGACCCGGGAAAGCAAGGACACCTTGAAGACGATCTTCAGCGTCGGCAGTGTTGAAATCGGGCAATCCGATGCACCAGACCTGGCGCCTGTTGACAGAAAGATTGTCGTTAGGAAGCCTGTCCCACAGGCGAGCGAGGCATCTGATGTACCGAAGACACCCAAGACTCCTAAGACTCCCCGCCGTCTGTCGTTTCAGAATGTTGGCTCTACGATCGGACAGGCTGCTGCCTCGGTGATGCCGCGGCGCTCCATCCATCGGAAGCCTGTTCCATCCGCCAGTGCTGAGAAGGCGAAGGAGGAAGAAACTAAGGCCGACGAGATTTATAGCGGATTCGAATCCAGGATCACTGCCATTGGCAGCGTGAGCGACAGTGTTGGTAAAAGTTCTTTCGACCAAGCCTTCATGGCCCTGCCTCAATCGAGAGAGGCCGAAAGACCCCGCTCAGCTAGTCGCACCTTCACGATGACAGCGCAGATGGAGCGTAGTATGGGAACGCACCTTCGCGCCCAAGGTCAGATGCCCTCGATGGACGGTGATGGTGGGCTTGCTCCTTCGCCACGCAGCCAAACCTTCACTGAGGCCGATCTCAGAAAAAAGACGTCGCCTCCTGTCAGCTTGCACACCCGAAGCGGCAAGAGCCTTCGAAAGCCTGCGCCACTGCGCCCGAAATCATCATCATCCAGCGAGGGGCAGCAGAGACGGCAGAGTTTGTCCAGGCAAACCAGCCGCGAGACGATCTACAGTTACCCAGCAGCATCCCCCGGGGGAATTGATGAGACACTGGACGTCCCTCCCGTTCCGCCAATGAGCCCTCGCAGCTACACAATGCTTGAGCAGCAATACGCGATGCGCCGTCAGGCTTCAGATGATAAGTGGCGTCCCAGCAATCAAGCTGGTCTGGCCCCTCCCCGTCCCGCCATGCGGAGCATGTCCACCATGTCCCCGGCACCTCCTGCTCGTCAGCTCCGCCATCGGGCAAGTTACGATGGCTACTCTCAGCAGTATCGAGGACCAGTAGCGCGGGGACCTCCCCCAATGGGCCAATCCGCCAGCCAAAGTGGCGCCTACTACCAGCAGCAGCTTCTGAACATTGAACAGCAGCACTGGGAGCAGGAAGAAGACATTTCTCCTGACAATGTCCAGCCGGGTTTACACAGAACCCGTAGCCGCAGTCGCAGTGTTCATGCAAGCGGTAACCCGCCCTATCGAGTCCTACACAGCTACAACTCTCCCGCCTACCGCAACGTACCCATCTGGGGCTGAGACTCATTCTCTCCCCGCCTTCACTTTCTTGCAAGATGGCGAGCACCATCAATGATTTCATCCAAAACACATTGCAAGCGTTTGAAACGACCCTCCAGTTCGCGCGACCCAGCGCTCCTTCTGTTCGCATTTCCCTATGTACAACTATTGCGCACACACTTGACGTACGGCAAATCACCGACGTCTGCATGACATGGTGACTCCTCTCACGAGCGCCCAAGGAATTTTCGGATGTCCTTGTTCTTCTTCTCGCCTTTCTTTGAACATACACATACACTGTTGGATACCCACGGGGCCTGATGAACACGGATAAACACGGCTAACACATGAGAATTATACCACAAAAACAAAAAAACGAGGTTTCCCTCTCCGTTGAGAAGGCGGCACAACAGTACACGACTCTTTCTCGTCCATGGATTTGGCTCTTGGTGGTCAATCGGCGTTATGGAATACCCATGAAATTGCTATGAGGAGGAGGCCAGCAGAGCAAGCTATGCTTTGCAAAGCTGATCTGGGCAAGAGAAATGCATCTTGGGCAGATACGGTGATGTAGGACAGATACGTTCGCGGGGTTTAGGTATCAGCCGTTCCCCGCGACGAATACAAGATGTTGACAGTGACTGATTTATTTTTGGTGATGTATGTGACGTCGCAGAATCGAGGTGCTCAGTCCTAAACTGCTAGTTGTGCGGCATAATATTCAAACAACCTTTGACATGTTCTCATCCTTCCCGACCTCATTCTTCAACACGATCGCCCGCTCATTGTTCTTCTTCGCCCTGTCTGTACTGACGGTGCACATCGACGCCACCGTCGCCGCAACACCGAACCCAATCGCCACAAGATACACGAGCCGGAAGCCCGCAACGTACGACTGCTTGGTCGCCTCGATCGCCAGCACCGTCAACCGCGGCGTAACCCCGGCGACGGCGCTGTATGCTGCCGCCGTATTCGTCCCCGCCGCCTTGACCAGGCCAGCCAGCAGTGACTCGGAGAATTCGACCCCCGAGGCGTCGATTGCCGACTTCATCTCGCCGGGCAGCACTTCAGCGAGGCGGGAGGAGTAGATTGCTGTGTAGATTGCCGTCGCTACTGCGCCGCCGAAGAGGCGGAATGTCCCGGCCAGACCGACTGCTACGCCCCTGGGTTGGTGCTCATGTCAGCCAAATTCGATGATGGGCTTGGCGTATCATGGGCAGGAGGAGACTTACAAATCGTTCTGGTCTTCCAATCCAAAAGACAGCATAGTAAAGGACAGCAGCTGGGGAGGTGTTATGGTGATGGCTGTGATCACGACCGTGACGATGGCTTGGGCGCGGTCGTTGGATCCGACTGATGCCATTGAGCCGATGAGAGCTGTCTGCACGACGGTGAATCCGACGAGCTGCCATTTCTCATGGTGGAGGCGCGAGCAGATGAAGACGGTGATCAAGCCGGCGGCTACTCTCAGTTAGCCTGTTACGTATCAAATAAAGAAGATTTCCGTTGGGCTTTACTCCAGGTGCCGCAGGAAAACACAGTTGCGTAGACTCCTCTCAGGATGGTCTCCTCCGGGCCGACGAAGAAGGCTTGCGACTGCCTGGGCCAGAGAACGTTCATGCTGTAGTACAGCATGCCCCCGACGAAACAAACCACCATCACCATGTCGAACCTGCAATGAGTCAATCAGCATCACAGCAGGCGTGAAGTTTCGACACACCCCACTTACTCTCTCACACGCCTGAACAGCTTGGGCGGGAACAGCGGGTACTCCAGCTCAGCAAACGCATCCCAGACGCCGACACCAACAAAGCAGCAGACTCCCAGCACGATGGGCGCGATCGTGCCCGGGTGCGTCCACGGATACGTCCTTGCGCCAAAGTTGATGCCCAACAAGAACAGCACGCCGCCGGCCATGAAGAGGAACACGCCGACGTAGTCCAGCTGCGCCAGCAGCTGCAGCCGCGTCTTGCCGTCTCTGCGGTGCTTCATCTCAAAGTCGGGCGGGCGGTAGAAGAGGAAAAGCAGCACGAAGGCGGCGCAGTGGAAGGCGAAGAGGTACCAGTACGCGCCGCGCCAGCCGATGTCCTGGTGGGCGATGAAGGCGTAGCTGACGAGCGGGGAGGTGAAGGCGAGCGCCAGGGAGACGTCGAGGCCGCCGACGGCCTTGATGCGGTGGCGGTTGGGCACGCACTCCTGGACGCAGGCGTAGCAGAGCTCCTGGAAGCCGGAGCCGATGCCGAAGAGGGCGCCGGAGACGATCATCTGGTTGATGGAGCGGGCGGTGGCGCCGACGAGGGTGCCGACAATGGAGACGGCGGCGCCGGTCATCATGAAGTAGCGCCGGCCGAAGATGTCGGAGAGGCGGCCGCCGACGGAGACGAGGATGGAGGCGCCGAGGGTCCAGGTGACGGTGATCCAGGTCGAGTTCGGGGAGGGCCCGAGGTCGGCGTTGATGTAGGGGAGGGTTGTGGAGGGGATGAGCATTGTCATTACGTAGGCGTTGATTTGGCCGCATAGTGCCTGTGGGATGAGGATGTTAGATCTTGATGGGTGGCCGAGGGTGTTTGGGATATGGGGTGGTATACGATTATGGCGAGGATGGTCTCTTTGCTGAGTTTGCCGTCCGTTTGAAGTTCGGCTTCGGAGGGGGGTGTAGTTGGCGTCGTGGTCGCGACATGTTGGTGGGTTTGGTGGTCTGTCTTTTCGTTGGATATGTCTGAGGTGGACGTCGAAGCTGCAGGTGCTGTTGAGACGGCCATGGCGATCTATGTGAGCAGACTAAATATGTTCATGCACTTTCATAGTCCACCCAAGATGTAGAGATAGTAGAAAATTCTAGTCAGAGCACTTTTCAAAGTGTTTCGTCCAGTGCGGGATTGCGATATTACATGGAATAGACGCGGTGCCACAAGTGTTGAGCCTCAGAACAGGACGCAAGAGAGGAGGTTCAGATTCGAGGTCGCTATAAGTGACTATGCTAACCCCACGAAACCTTCCCAGCTCTCTGGGCTCGGGTGCAGATATCCCTTTCATCTTTCTCATTGGCTGGAAGCTGTTTTGACAGACAACATCGTCATCGCGGAGCACAACGTTGTACGTCGGTAGCGAAGACCCGGTTGTGAATATGTAACACCTGACTGGCCAGCACATTGGTCCCTGAGATCTCGGGGTTCTGGGGACAAGATCCGCCCGAAGCCCCGCCCCCGCAATGTTTCAATGCAGGGTGAGTCGAGAGTCTCAGTTCTCCAGCATTGGCATCTCAAGCCATGTCTCAGGCTGCTGTCTTCTTAGTCTGCAAGAGCCCAGGTTGCAGACTCCGACAGGGCCAGTAAGGTCTGCAGCAGAATTATTACCACAGTCTTGGTAGCTAAGAACGCCGTTACTGAAGTAACGGTGGCCTGGATCAAGTTGGATGCAGGGAGATGCTCGCGAAAGCTTTTCCTGGACTTCAGGATCAACGCCGCGTGAATCATTAGCTCTTTCTGAGCTTCACAATCGTAACACTTTAGGGCTTCAAGAAGAAACAAAAGTCTGCGCTTAATCAATTAGTGGGCTTTCAAGATGGTAGAAGTCGTGTTCTACTTGGACCTTCGTGTAGTCTCGTCATGTCGTGCAATTTCGCTAGATTCGAAATCCACTTATGAAGCCAGTGTGAATTGCGCAACCTGTTAGTCTCCCTACCACTCAAGCAAACAGCAAACATCTCGAACCGCGGCCTGAGTGAACAAACAAAAGCCATTGGTGGATTCCGGGGTCTTCTGGGAACCAACACACACGGTGTTGAGCAGCCGGTGCAACGGAAAAGTTGACCCGAGCCAACAAACAGACACCGCCGTCTCCTGTTTTCCCCCTTCCACACTACTGTCGAACTAGTCGACCAGTCGTCCACTCGGCATACGACCTCACCCGAGACACACATACGCAAACCCCTCACTTCCCAAGTCATCGCCAAAATCCCGCGGAAATCTGACTCAGAAAGAGAGGACATCTGACTCACAATGCGCGTCGCAGTATTCGGCGCGACCGGCGTCCAAGGCGCCGCCCAGATCTCCGCCCTCGCTTCCGCATCTCACTACTCCATCGCCGTGACGCGGCGATCCTTCGACCCCACCACCCTCAAATCCTCCGATGCAGACGGTGATGCTGCTGACGCCGCCGCCCGCGCTGCACTTGCAGCTGCAGCGGAGACCCGCACCGCGGATTTCAACTCCGTCGAGACGCTTCCGGCCGCCCTCGCAGGCGCGGATGCTGTCTTCCTCAACCTGCCGTCCTTCCAGCCCCGCGAGCCCCTGGTCGCGGCCGCCAAGGCCATCGGCGAGGAGGCCGCCGCGCAGGCCGCGACGGTGAAGCTCGTCGTCTTCAACACAAGCTTCCCCGTCCCGGAGCGGGACGCCGGCATCGAGGCGCAGGAGACCCGCCGGGAGATGCGGCGCGTGCTTAGGGAGGCGACCAAGGGGAGTGGCGTGGCGGTAGTCTCGCTACAGCCTGTCGTGTACCTGGATAACCTGCTAGAGGGCTGGGCGCTCCCGCGTCTGAGAGATGAGGGGCGCATTGTGTACTGCCACAAGCCTGACCTCGAGGTCTCGTGGATCTGTCACGATGACCTGGCGGCGCTGATGGTTGCCACGCTGGATCGGGATCCGAAGGAGCTTGACGGGCGCGACATACCGGTGGGCGGGCCGGAGACGGTGCGGTTGTCGCAGCTTGCGGAGAAGCTCGGCCGCGCGTGGGACCGGCAGGTCGGGCACGAGAACCAGAGCGTGGACGACTTCGCGGGTGAGATGGCGGCGGCGTTGAAGGGCGCGCTGGAGTCGCAGGCCGGCAAGGAGGTGGAGACCGTGGTTGAGGAGACGAGAAAGGCTTACACTTGGTACAACGAGGCCGAGGAGAAGCCTTTCAAGGTCGACATGGGGCCGGTGCTGAAGGAGTTCCCGGCAAAGTTGACGCCGATTGAGGAGTGGGGGAAGCGCAAGGGGTGCCCGATCAAGGCGAAGTGAGGATTGGGAGTGGAAGGCATGGCGGTATCAGTTGGGTCACATGGTGGCGGTCTCTTTGAGCGTTTTTGTTTGCGTTGCTTGAGGTGGTTGACGATTCTGCTGGGGGGGTTTTTTGTTTGCGAGAAAAAAGGAATTTTGAAGGCAGTGAAAGAATACGAGTTCACTCATAAATCATAAAACAAGTCGGGACCGGTGTGCGGAGAAGTGGGGCCGGTGACGGACTGCAACTCCGAAACAACTGGATCTCACTCTTCCCGGAGTTCATGCGCTGAACTGATATCAGTCTACCAAAATTAGCAGTGTATCAAAAATGGTTCTTACCACTATACCTCAGTACTTCTCAATACCTTTGAGAAGTGACTGGTCGTGCCAAACCTCACGCGTGGCTGACGCGTGGCTGTGAGTGGGCGAAGCTGACACTCAAGGAACTAATCATGCATACCTGTACTTATCTATCCGCAGGTGAAAGCCAGCGTTCCACTTCTACAGGATGCGGGCTTATCATTGGCAGTGCTCGGAGCGGGGTAGGAGGCATGGTGCTTCTCTCTGAAAATCAGGCTGTGATATGAGGCCAATCAGTGAGCTCATGTCATGTGTGATGTGTTGTCAATCACTTGCTCATGTCTTATGTCTGACACTTTCTTTCCAACGTGAGCCCCTTCATTCACTTCTGCTTCTTAAGCGTTTTGTACAGTTCTGAGAATATCAGAATCGTCTCTACAATTCCCAGTGCCACTGCCAGACTACCTCGCCAATGTCTTTCGCATCATGGACGCTTGTCAGACGTGTTCCGTGTTCTTCCATATCTCAGTCTCCCCTCATACCGCTAGCAATACGTATGATAGAGAATATACTCTTGATGAACGAAGAGAAATCGAGGAGTCCGCGCAAAACTGTAGACTATGTCGCATGATTCTAAGTGGACTAGGAGAACACGACTGGCTCGAAGACTACGACCAGGACCCAGATCACATACCCGACAACTACAATGAAAGACTAAGCATAAGGACGTGGGCATATTCAAGTCAATTAAGAGTTGACGAGAACCGTATATCCTCAATAGCTTGGGGTGTGGTGGAAAATGGAAGAAGAGTTGATCGGCGTCCAATTACTGACTGCTCTGTGTGGGTGGACCAATGTACGTCAACTCCATCACGATTAAAAGCATGGTTCTCTACTGACTTGGTGGCTTAGCTGGTTTTGCACTCAATGATAGCATTGAGCCGGAAAGCAAGAGCACGCCGTTTGCTGGCGATTTTGTTGACTGGCCTCCAGATATCCATCACAGCCCAGCAGAGATGACTAGTCTCACTCAGAGGCTCCTGGACAATTGTCTGGAACACCATACCTCTTGTGGGCCGTCTTTCACGCAACAGAAAGACGCAGTAGAGCTACCATCTCGGATCATATCCCTACAAGATGATAATGGGGTTCTTTCAACCAAACTTGTAGAAACAAAAGGCTTGAAAGGCACATACTGTGCGTTGAGTCACTGCTGGGGATCTGAAGATAAGCACCCACTGAAGACTACCGGGCAAAATATCAGCATTCATCTTGAATCCATACCATGGAACCACCTACCAAGTACCTTTAGGGATGCTCTCAACTTGGTCAACGCTCTCGGACTTAAGTATCTCTGGATCGATTCACTTTGTATCATACAAGACGACAAAAGAGACTGGGAACACGAGGCAAGCAGGATGGCATCAGTTTATCGCAAAGCCTTCCTCGTAATTGCAGCTGTGAACTCCAAAGACTCCACCGAAGGCCTCGCAGGACCTCGACCTCACCTCTCACCGCCGATGACTTTCCGTTGCCCCATCACCATACACAACGGTTCTGATCAAAGCATTCAGCAGGTCAACATACTCCAGACATCAGTTAATCCGAATTCCGAAATACGAGGTCCTTTGCGAAAAAGAGCTTGGGCTTTTCAAGAGTGGTACCTTGGTCGGAGAAAGGTCTTTTTCACGTCACAAGACGTCAAGTGGATCTGCAACGAGGAAGAAATGAACGCACGTGCACACTGGATTGATCTAGGGCTTTATGAAACCAATTCTTGGCTACATTGTCTGAACGAGTACTCGAGGAAGAGGTTGACGATTCCATCCGATCGTATAATAGCTCTCCTCGGGATCGTGGCGGAGCTGCAGGAGCAAAGGAACGATTCTTTCGCCACTAAACTTGGTGTTTGGGAAGACAATCTTGGGGAGCAGCTTCTATGGAGACATACGAAGGCGCCATGCTATGACTTTCCCGGCCTTCCATCTTGGTGTTGGGCTGCCACTGGGGGAGCGAAACACTGGGTGAATAAAAACTCCGACGATTGTCTCAGTCCAGCTGTGGTGAACCGTACCACGCAAACCATCAATTTGACGCAGTCTGGCTCTCTGAAAGCCTCTGGCCTGCTGATCAGGGCAACAACACCATCATCGTGTTTCCGAGAATGTTGCCTGCCTAAACCCTCGTGCATCGATTCACTTGAGGATGGCATAAGGCCGGGCTACTGCGGAAAAAAAGACCACGCAGAGAGATTTCCAGTATATCACGTTGGCGGTACGCACAGTATACTTGGCATTGGCGCCTTCGACAACTGTGCATACCCTCCGGAATATTTTTGCTTCATCCTAAGTTTCGAAAAGCGCAGCGTTTTGGACCCATTGTAAGTGTTGTTCCCAGTTCTAGACCCGAGAATGTAGTAGATTTCGCCTGACACGGTTTCCTAGCTACTACGTCTCCGAGTCTGAAGACTCCGAAAATAGAGACTCTGAACACTCAGGCTCTGAATATAGAGACTCTGAGTGTGGAGACTCTGAGCGCGGAGGCTCTGAGCGCGGAGAACCTAAGCGTGGAGACTCTGAATCTGCACACCCCGAATCTGAAGACTATGAATCTGGAGACTATGAATTTGAAGATCCCGAATCTGGATGGTCTGAATTTTTAAGTTATGAACCTGAAGAAAGAATGGCAACTCAGACTGAAAAGTTAGAAACCGACTCCGAGGGAGCTGGTGCTGAAGGTAGTGGGGGTGACGTTGAAAGTACGGATGGGAGTTACTCGCCGTACGCCCAAGAAGATGTGGGTAGTTTCGAATCCTCTCATTTCTTGTGTGTTCGGACGTTGCGGCTGATTTGTGATAGCACGAGTGCCCGGATTTAAGTGAAGTCGAGATGTCTTTAGGAGCTTACTGGTCGTTGCTTCTTGAGCCTGTTGATGACACTATGAGAAGGTTTAGAAGAGTGGGAATGGCTCTTATATATCCAAGAGGACTGAAGGCAATTGAGTCTGAGGTCAAGACGTTCGAAATTGTTTGATCGAAGGGGCTTATGGAGGAGCCTACGGCAAGAAGCTTTGGTGAAGACTTCATGTTCTTTCAACTTCTGGTTGGTTCGCACTTTATATGTGGTATTGAATGAGACATTCCCTTCAACAGGAATCGACAGTTTTTTGCCTAATGACCAACTTCACGGCATAAACGAGGTCTAAGAATAGGCGCTTGACGCCAGCGCCATTGAGCCAATGTAAACGGGCCATGAGGTCTTGGCCAAGACTATTGAGGTTATGGTTGGACGCAGCATGAGAATGCCTTCACATTTGGCCGTAGTCTCCCCGTGAGAGAATTCTCGCACAAATATTAGACTATTTGCAAAGCTCATTCACCTCACGGCGTACGTCTCGCCAGAAACAGGTTTCTCCACAAGCCGCGAAGGAAAGCCCACTTGCCGCCGATCTCTACCACCAGTACCGTCCTCCGAGATGACGCCGTACTGTAAGTGACAAGCCGCGGCGTCGACCTCGTCCTGGCCAGCATGGGCAGGAGCGCTGATGGCCAGGGAACACGATCCCGCGATCGGCATCCCCGGGCCCAATTTCCTAGCCGAAAGACCTAGGGGTAATGGAATCATGGCACCTCCGAGGCACAGAGACAATAAAATGGGTGGCGGAGAGTACCCACATCCGTTAATGGACCGACCTGGTATTAGTTCGCCGTTGTTATCATAAATCTCCAGTTGTACGAGATATATACTTCGCGAAATCGACCAGTGCACAAATGCCATGATGACCATGATGGGCACGATGCAGCCAGAATGTGCTTCGCTGCTCGCCGTAAGGCCGGGTGACTCGCAGGGGCTTGCGTACCGATGCGAAGCGCGCGTACTCGTGCGCCATTACCATGCAGGTGAATACGTTGTTATAGAAGAGGTAGACAAGACTGATGACGATCTGGGGCGTGTTTGCGAGGAGAACATTGGAGATCAGCGAGTTCCCGAGGGTAAATCCTATGGTGTTGCATGAAGGACATGTTTGACCTCTTACTGCCGCTTCTTGCGGTGAGGTATAGATAGAGCCCCGCAAACCACATCGCGAGGCATCTGTGAGTTTTCTTTGTTAAAGAGCGGTCCCAGCCTACTGTGAAAACCCCTACTGGGTGGGCTCGAAACTTCCTCAACAAGAGCGGTCCCAGATACAGACTTTTAGCGTGTACTTACAGGGCCATGCAAATGAACCACCGGCTTCCACTCACTGCTCGAGCCCAGCGGTGAGGTTTTCGTTTATAGGTTAAAGACTTGTTTCGAGATCCTGAGATGCAATCTTTCTTCCAGGACTGCTTCTGGACTACGGATTTGGTCACCGGATCGAGGTTGGTGGTCTTGTTGTGCGGCTGCTCTAGGAATGAGCTGATGGCGTCGCCCACGGTTCCCAGCGGCTCGAATCTGTGAGTGAAGGCGGTGGTCAGAAGACATACAACTTTGACAGCATTGAAAAGAATGGTGATGGTCGGCAATGTCGTGCTGACCTGGATTCTGCAATTTCCGGGGAACTGCTCGGCGAGGCAGTAGAGAATCAGAGCGTCAAAGGAGCTTCCGCACGAGCCGGAGTTCGAGGTGTCGCGACAGACGCCCTCGATCTTCCACAAAGAGGCGTGGGCCAACAAATAGTTGAAGTCGCAGTTGCTTCCCGAGTTGTCGTAGTTTCCCAAATTGCCGTGTCGTATCCAAGTTTCACTAGTGTCGGTGTCCTCGGCTTTGTGCGTCAACACCTGGATGATGCTGCTGTTATTGGGGACCGACGTGACCAGCAGTAGATTCTTCCAAGACGATTCATGTAATGAGTTTTGATACGCTTGGATGCACTGTGAGTTGTCGAGGCGTGTAAGGCTTCCGGCTTCCGGCTTCTGCGGAGGCTTGAATCTCTTTCAACTGCCTCACATTGGCTGTACCTGGCCCGCTCCATGCGTTGACGCTTTTGGCGAGTTCCGTATCGTTCCATGCGGCTCCCTTGAGAAAGTCTTGTGTAACCAATGCAGCTTGGCAATCGACCGACGATTTAGTTGAGAAAATCACGGGGCTGTAGCTAAAAGTAGTTAATCTTAACGATTGAAACAAAAAAAAAAAGCACCCCTCATACTTACACCAGGTGTAGTGGGATCGAGCTTAGAAATAGCAGAGCCCACCAACACACGCGCCAGTACCATATGTGTCCCAAGTTACCCACACTTGGAACACCAATATCGAGCGATTTGCCCTTCATGTGTGCTCTATCAATATCTCGTCTTGAAGGCGAGGATAGCAATTGCGCACAACTGTTGCTGGCGCCAAGAAGCAGGGTGGACATGATGTTGATGGCGAGGTCGGGCCACAGTGTGTCCTTTTTCGATTCGATGCAGGAGCCTATACAAACGAAAACTATCAGCACCAAGAACGAACCGTAGAATATGCAATCGCTAACCTTCGAAGACGGTTGAAATCCCGTTCGAAACCCCGGAGCGATGTCGGACCCAGACAAGAACGCCCACGTTCACAACGAGGACGAGAGATGCGACGATAGCGCCCGCAGACACTGTCGTTCTTCATGAGTCCAACCCCCTGATCTTACGATCAATAGCGGGCGGATCGTTCTCATATGGAAGAGGTCTGATTTGGGTCACAGGTTGCTTCGTCTCGATCGACATCATATCGATTGCAGACGGCAGTTGCATCGATTGAATGGGCGATGCGTGTCGACAGCCCGTATTTGTAGTATTCCAAGCGAGTTGAACGGTTCTCAGATGCAGTGTAGGAATGCAGTAAGTAGAGGCTTTGTGGCGTTTTTAAAGTGCGACGCGAACATCCTTTAGTGACAAAGTTGGTCTTCCCAACTGTCCTTTCGATGTTTTTGTTTCACTAATCTCAGCTTCTTGAACACACGACTTGCCAGTCTTAAGCCACATTGCTACTTCAACTGTCGGTCTGAGCTTGCATGTTTTGCCCGGAGTTCCAATCTTGTGAGAGGCGTCGGTCTATGTCAGAAGCTGCCATATCAGCCTTCGAGGCCTGTAGGGTGATCATTCTAAGACCAGCCTCTTGCTTCTGCACGCATGCTTTGAAAACTGATTCATATAAATGAATTATTCCCCTTCCGCCCTCATCTGAAGCTTCATCACAAAGCAACGCCGTGTCCGGCTCTTTTCCGAGTTCCGAGGTCATCGGTCTCCTTGGAAGCCTCGTAAGCCATTGACCATGGACGTTTTCTTCATACGGAATTGGGAGAAGCCGGATCCATTACGCAACCCTAGGCTACCAGAGAACTCATGGGCAACATCAAATAGCAGACCATCTCGCAGACATCGCAAACGAAAGCCGGGGCCAGTCACCTAAGTATGTACATTGGTGTCCTGGAGCACTGCAGGCGCAAGTTCATCGAACGACACGAGAGATGCGACCATTCCGACGACGATAACTGTGTCTCAGATGGGCCACTGGCAACAAGCTTTGAGCTCTCCAAGTCTCAGAACGACATCACAGACGATAGAAGCGGCCATGACGGCGTTAAAAGAAGAGCTCTTCCATGTCGTGAGATAGAGCGACCCAAGTGGGGAAGCACTGCCCCTCCTCGCCAAGCCATCGACGGAGTAATGTGTAAATCACGATCCGCGACAGCTTGCTCGGAACTCTCGTCATTGATTCCGAGAGAAGCGTGATTTCAGCGCATTACTAGTCACTTCATCTGAACCGTTGGTTTAAAGTTCTCGCTGTGTCATCACGGATCTATACAGCTTCTACGGTGCTGCGTTTTGCTTCGTCAGCGGCATCTCCCATTGTTGTAAGTAACCGCGCGGGAAGATCTCGCTGATCCTTGGCGTTCATCCTATCTAGCTCCATGCTCCACTTTGTCGTCCGAATCCCAGCAGGGTATGTCTAGTCTCGTTGCGGTGTAACTTATAGTGCATTGGATATCGGTAAAGTCTGTATTTGTAGCTGTTAGCGTGCGCTGCCCCATGGTTTAACTTGGCTTATCTGTGATGGAAGAGCGATAGAACTTAGAAGAGCTCCGTTAGCTGACACAGCCAACAATGTTTTATCTTTGCGAAATTTGACGAATCTCTTGATCCAAGGCCACTCGAGTTCTGATAGGCCGATCAAAGCATGGCAGTGCAAGAGCCGCGAACAGAGCTCTTAATATGTGAATATCTAAGGTAGGGCTAGTTTCTGAGACCCACCTCTTTCCCGAAATGCAGATTCGGTAAGTAGACTTGGACAACAAATTATGAGCCGGTGGGATAAATGCCAAGACAGCGGGGGCCAGGCTGTGCCGTACGACCATAGTAGGAACGTGATGAAGTACATCTCATGCCAGTCAGGGCTTCTAGTATCTCTGCAAATGAAGTTCCTTGCTGTCATGTTGGAACTCGGGCACTATTGCGGATCATTAGAACGTATTCGTTACCCTGGATCCTGCCATGCCCTGTCAAACTCCAACTACGATGAAAGTAAGCCTAGAACTGCACCTCATCGTGCTGCCGGAACTGCACCTCTGATTCCGAAAAGGAGCGCCGAGCCATCTTCGTCATTGCGGAACTCGGGCTCGTGTAGCGTCTTGTTCTAGGCGACAAAGCTGGCCGGATCTTGGTCGTACGCATGAGAAAGCTGCTTGTATACTTGCCGCGCGGATATTGACAACCTATCATGGATGGATCCCGGTCTCGAAAGCACAGAAATCTATGGAGGTTGGATTTGAGACCGGTTGCCATCTCGCGATAGTATGCAAGTAAGTCTTGGCCTACCTATTGAGACTCGTCAATCGCATGATGAACAGAGTGAGGATGCGAAATCGCCGTCAAGAGTGCTAACGGAGCGCGAGATCACCAGACTTAGCCGGCCGGGTAGATTTGATGAATCAAAACAGTTCCGAAGTTCAGAGGCGGGGTTAACCAGATACAAATGAGCATGTTCACGCTGGAATTTCAGCAGACTCTTAGTTTATACCATCATCATTCTACATCCTCTATTAAATCACGAAAATTACACTTGGACCTTCGTTCACCATGAGATTGATACTGTCCCTTCTTAGCGGTGCTGCTCTCGTTGCCAGTAGCAAGACGCCTTCCTTAGTGGCCCAATATCGCACTCGTCAACAAGTTCTGCCTCATGTTGCCGACTTTGTTTTCCAAGACGATTGCATCTACACCCTAGATTCCTCTTCCACTAAGCCGGGCGTGCCCGCTCCAGATCCTTCGGCAGAAAGGCATCACCACTTGGCAAGACGCCTTAGCCACCAACGAACATTGGGGGTCTTGGAACATTCTCAAAGATAGTTCCGAGCTCAGCTCACAGGGTTACTTTGATTACCGCATCCAGCCGCCACCGACATTGGAGGCTGTCGATACCGTCGTTGCAGAAACCATCGCCCTACTCGCGTCTCGAAATGACGACTCCACTGTGTCTGCCCGGCCAACTCTCAAATGGCAAGCGATCAAGGCCTTGCTGGATGGTATCATGCCCTTCTCCGCTCGCACAGCAGCCAACAAGGATCCGTTCTGGCGTCCTGTACGCAACGGCACAACGCCACCCAGGAATGGGTGCCTGATCCCAGCGCCATCGCCCCTCTGTACTGGGACTCTGAAATCTTGGCCAAGACTCTGGAAGGGTTGTGGCTGGGCAGTGTCGACGCACAGCTACATGTCGATGGCGATCGAGCCGTTCACGTCAGCTTGGACGCTGCAGATGCCTTCCGGCGTAATCACCCTGATGCTCCCCCCATCCATCTCGCTCTCGCCCAAGCCAGTCTTACACTTGCAGAGAACTGGCCTCGATTCGCGGAGCTCGGCGTTGATGTGGTGTTCCAATACCAGTTCTCTCAACTAGCTCCGATGTGGATCCCGGACACATTCAACAGCATTGGCGAATACCGCATGGGCAACCTCGATGCCTACCTTATGCACAGATCGAGGAGGCTGGACGCCCCACAGTGTACGGTAGCGACTGGCCTGTAAGCTCCTTCTCGAGATATCCTATTTGAAGTTCTAAACGACTGATATGTGACCTTAGGTCGATCCCCTTGATGTGTGGTTGGCACTCAAGGCCGGAGTTACGCGCTGGGGTGACCCATCCAGCCCCAACTCTGCCGCATCATCCAGCGAGCTTTATGACGGACCGTTCCCTGGTAGAGGTATCTCCCGCGAGTCCGTCCTGAAGGGAGCCACCATCAATGGAGCCAAATTCTTGCGGGCCGATGAGCAAATTGGCTCTCTCGAGGTTGGCAAGCTTGCGGATATCATCGTCACCGAGAAGAACTTCTTTGAAGTGCCCGATGAGGAGCTCGGGCGTAACAGAGTGCTACTAACAATGCTTGGAGGTGAAGTTGTATACCTGTAGGACGGTGCGCAGTCTATCTTTGGGAGATATATCACGCCAAAGTTCCCCAATAATAACACCGTTACTGCGAAGATGGCCCGCAGAGTGATTGGCGGGCTCCATGGTGAGCATCTCGACACCCAGGGACGGGCCGAGGTTGTCAGAATGAGGAAGCACCAGGGTTGTGGACATGGACAAGCACACTAGAACATGCAACCTCGATGAGAACGGCCGGCTACATGAGTGCTAAGATGTGGTCGAAAGTGTGCTAGAGAATCATTACACACCCACCAAATTTGCTGAATATCATTCTAGCAACCCCTTCTTAGATAGGGACGATAGATGATAGAGAAGTCTTAACGTTCGTGGTAACTTAAGAACACTTTGCACACATGTTATCATTCTTACCTTTCCTACCGAAACGTTCTGTATGTTAACATGTTGTTTGGGTTGCCAGGCCGAGACTAGTATTCAAGTTGGCAGGCGGCTGTAAGGCGCACTCGGTGAGTATGATCACTTGTCGAGACTCGAACCAATTCACCAACAAAGACAGAAGAGGCTAATTGAAAACCCAGAATCTATTTTGAACACCGTTTCTATGGGGGGTATATAAAAATGCACATCGCTTGTCTTCTTAAATAGGTGTTCCGAAACCATCAGTCTTGTCAGCCTTGGAGGTCCAGCAGACCTGGCTTGCACCACAACCGCGCCAGTTGAACATATCTGAGGGTGTCCAACAAGAGCTTTCGGCAAATTGCTTGCCGCAAAGTCCGTGAACCTCGTTACCGCCGAGCCATCCGTCATCGTTAGCACCGTTGACGTCGCCATCAATAGCGTGAAACTGTCTCTCGTCAGTAATGCGCCGCTTCTCTGCACAGAATAATAACGTACGTAAGGGCCGCTGTAGGGAGCGTCGTGGATAAGAGGGTCCGTGAACCAAGGACCGTCGCCTATGGGAATCGGTCAGTGACGTTGGCAGGGGTATGTTGGAATGGGAAGAGCTTACTGTAGACGAATTTTCCTTCGGATGCCTTGACTACAGCCTTAGAGGCCTCTTCGTCGATTTGCATGCCGATGGCGCCCTGGTCGGTGATACAGGCACAGAGGCGGTGCTTAGCAGCGTTGACGTTGGCCGCCCTGGAAAAGTTTAGTCCTCAGTCGCAAAAGAAAGATACCGGGATGTCAACGTACATCAGCAAGACCGCCAGAAAACCGAGAATTCTCGCCATTGTTGATTATTAGGATGTGGTAAGTGTGAAAAAAAAGAGTGTATTGAGTTAAGCAGATGAGATTGGTGAGAGAACGAGTGTCTTGTGGCCATTCAAACTTGCTGCGTGGAAGGAAGCAGTGTGAAGCTATATACTGAAACTCACATCACCAAAAACACTGCAAAGGGGCCATAGACGAGCAGAAAAACATTCAGATCAGCGCCAGTAAATCGGTCTGTCCGATACGTGAAGATAATAATACCACCCAACGCCAAGGCGGCCCGCCCGGTATGTTCGTAGATTGCCAAGACCAGGGACATGCCTATTTAAATCCTCTGTGCACCAATCACCAGCAAGGCATATCCTGAGTTCCTTATGGGGATTTTTGGAACTTTAAATGAACACTATCTGAACTGCCAGTCATTTTGACTCTTGAGTCAAGAGAAGTCAGAAGTCGTAGTGGGGCAAATCGCCCCTGGATTTCCCCCCGGTGCCCGTTCCGGGCGGCGGGGGCGGGGACGCCGGCTACGAAGACCCGTGACGGCACACGACAACATACCTCAAGCGGAGCCGGCGAGGAATTAAGCGTCAACAAACATGATGCCAAGAGTCCTTATTGAAACAACGAAGACCAAATGAACTATGAAATGTTTTATGGTGAAATGGCAGGAGTTCTGATATGAACCTACCATAACCTGTGCGAAGAGACCATCTTGGACTTTCAAAATCGGAATATTTGCATCTCTGAGCTCGTAAAATTTTCAATCCCAACCGGGACAGGATCAGCAGTGAGCGGGCGGCTCATTACAACCTCGGGAACGTTGCTCAGGATATCCCTCACGATGCGGTGAGCGAGTCGCTCCGACAACAAGATGGATACCTGGCTGCTTTTGGACACTTGAAGTGATGGAAAGACGTAGAATCTGAGGAACTTGAGCAATTTGCCAACTGATGTTCTCAAAAGTCCCGATCTCCGCGATTCTTTCAACGTCCTCTTCTCATGATCATCCGATTCACTTCCTAAATCACAGAGAACCAGTGGTTGGCCTACCCTGGAAAGCAAGATTACCAGGCCGGATCGCATGACTGAGGTCGCTTATCGAAGAGTTGTGGTTGCCCAAGTCATTGACAAATGCCTCACGTTACTTGCTGTTGAATAACTCTTGAAAGTCATATTTCGTGGTTGGACATAGAAGTGCACCCAGACATCTTGTTCATTGGCATAGCGCGATGCTTCCACCACTGTCTTCCACTCAATGTAACTCATCTATGCGTTTTAATATGTTTCATGTTTCAAAGCAGTGGTAACTAAGCGCAGCTGTTCTCCAGCCGACACAAGAATGTGTACAAAACAAACAAGTCAAAACTATGACAGACAATCTCTCCAGGTCTGGATAGACTTGTCCCGCAAGCCCCACACTCTCTCGTATCGATCCATGTCAAGAGCCCAGACCTTTCAACTCCGAAAGCCTCGGCCTCTAACCAGAGGTAACGTGCAGAGGACCGTTGCCGTCATCAACAGGGCATCCGGGTCCGTCCGAGTCAAACTCGGCAACGCAGCTGCCGTCGATGCCGATAGAAATCCCGATGAACTCGGTGTCCTTCTGCTGCGTGCCGCTGCCGAGCTCGTTGCCGTCCTTGGTGCTGACGTCGCACGTCTCGGGGATGCCGCCAAAGTCGGACTTGCAGTGGAAGACGCGCGGGGTGTCCCAGCAGGAGCCCTCGATGGTGAAGGTGCGGCCGTTGCCCGTGTTGTAGCAGGGCGAGTGGTCGCTCGGGGTGGAGTCGTCGTAGATGGCCTCGCCGTTTTCGTTGATGATGGCGAAGCCGCTGTAGTGCCCGCTCTGGGAGCCGGCGCCGGGCCCGCTGATGGTCGAGAAGCTGCCCGAGGACCAGACCACGCGGAGGTGCTCGGCGTAGGCGGTGGCGGAGAGGCTGAGGAGCCCGAGGAAGAGGTTGCGGATGGAAGACATTGTTGTGATGATGTGGTTTGTCCGAGGGGTGTGTTTTTGAAGCTGGGTGAAGAGTGAAGAGTGTAGAGTTGTTGCTGATACTGAGATGTCTTCTTTCCGTGAAATGACACAGGCTTTTATACGTTTATTCTGCTTGCTGAACACTTTGAAGGATGTCAATCCCCGTTTGCCCGACGTCTTTGAAGCTCAATAAGCTGATATCATAGTATCGTGATGTTCTCAATCCAACTCGGTGCCTAGCACTCTCTACTGAGTCGGTCTCCGCTAAAGGAAGTTCTTCTGTTGCCTAGTCCAAGTCAGACAACTTCTTTAGTGAGACCAGACTGCCATCGGCGAAGGGAAAACTGGAGCAGACTCATCGACGATCTCAATGAAGCATACACGCGGACAGCCCATAGAACGACCGACCGCGACGGCAGACCCCATGGGACAGAATAAGCCTCGCGATCCACTGAAGGAACTATTCACCCAGTTTTCCCACCCACTTGTGGGAAACGGTTGTATGGCGGAGCGGTTAATGGCAATTGCGCGGTGCAAATTGCAACAACCCGCGGTCCCAGTGCTAATACTCCTGTCCCAAGAGCCAAGTACGTTGCCACGACTTTATGAGTTCGTGTTAAGAGCTACCAAAACATCAATCGCCATCCAAGTGTTGCGAAAATAACCTTTACTTTAGCATGCACTCGATTTCATCATTGATGTTTATTTCCAATCATGCATAGCCTGGCTGGGTAGCCGCATACGCGACCTTACCGCAAACAAGGGCAACTCAACTCACGTCCTTGGCATCTTCAACTCCCGAGCCGTGCCCGACGCAGGATCGCGACCCCAGCCGCCGCATTCAGACCTCCCGTCAAAATTCGACTAAGCTGGGTACGAGCAAACACAAACTTGGCAATCGATCAACAGTCGGTCTCGATCCACAACCAACACGAAGGCCAACCACGAATCACATAACGATGGTGCCTGCTGAACCCGGGGCCGTGCCTTCGCCTCGTTCCCAGCGCCAATCATGGTCATTCATGCTCAAGATACGCACTTGGGTGGAGCGTCGTCGCTTACAAGCGTGGCCTTGTTTTCAAACGATCCTCATTGCATCAGGAACGGGTGTACCCACCCGGCATAGCCGCAGAAATCCTCCGCGGCAGAGGGCAGCTGCGACAGTCCCGTCGATCAGAATGTTTGCTCCCTTGCCTGGACCGTTCGTCAAAGTCTGTCAAGCTTCGTGGTTCGCGCACCTGGGCTTCGTTGATGTGGTTGATTGATTCATGCCGCCGTGTCTGGCCGTCTAGGCAGCCGCTCAGTGGCTAAGACAGCATCGACGATCGGGCACTCCACATAACGTATCAAACCAGGCAGGTATTAACCAAACGAGAGAATCATCAGTCTCTATTGAGCTAAAGCCAATTCGGGCAGGCAAATTATTACTATATACGTCTTGTGTAGTTGTAGTAGTGTGTAGGCAAAACGCAAAGACAGGCGTAAAAGCGAGCGACCTGTAGTCCTCCCCTTGCAAAATCGATCCATCCTCCATTCATCGTCATTTTCTTTTCCCGCTATGCATCAGGAAAGTACAAAGGAAAATTACTTTAAACCTCTCCCTTGATGTCCCCAAAGAACAGATAGTTTCGTGTCTCGGAGAAATGAAGAAAGGGCAGTGGGTCCATCATCTGAGTGTTGTATGTGTATCTTCTCAGCAGGATGTTGTAGTAGTTGTCTTGCGAAAAAGGGGGTATCATCATTCTAGTGTGTCCAGTCTTGGGCTCAAAAGCATGCTGCGTCAAAGATTGACTGCGGTGCGAAAGACAAAGGAAATCCTCCACATTTCTTATGATACGACTGAAGACTCCTTAATCCTCAAAGAAGTCGTGGTCGTCAAAGTCGCCCGGATGAGCATCCGAGTCGTAGCCGCTGGATCGCAGCATTGGCGGCGGAGGCGTCATGGGTTGGTGTTGGCTTGATGGACGATGCGCAGGCGGGCTCTTCATCGACACGGACGGTCCGTTGGTGACGGAAGGTCCCCGGGCGCGCGCTTGCAGTTGTTGCGGAGTGTATCGGCGGCCAGTGGTCTGAAACGCCGTAGGTTGAGGCTCCTCCGTGTGCGTAGGAGGGGTCTGGCGAAGGCCAGATGCTGGGGGTGTGAGCAGTCCACCGAGGAGGCCGTTGTTGGCTGATGTCGAGGAGGTAGATCTGGATGGCGTGTGATTGCTGCTGAAGGCAGAGCGAGAAGATGAAGGGCGAGCGGGTGCGCCAGCAGATCTGAAAGCGGGCGCCTGGGACTTGCGCCAGTTGCCCCAGGCGGCAGCCAAGGGGCCGACAGCCTGAGCGACACGCGGCGTCGCAGCTTCCCTCAGAGATTGCGCAATGTTGGGCAGGTTGATGGCAGATCCGCCGTTCATGGCACGCTCACGCTCTTGTTCCTCCATCTGGAGGTTCGCCTTGAGACGGATGGCGGCATCCTTAACTGCCTCTCTATCGAAGTCTTGGGCGGAGAGCGACAGGATGATGTCTTGCAGGTCGCCATGTCTGACAGCAAGAAGCTCGCGCAGCCAGGTGATCTCATCATCACGCTTGGTGATCTTGGCGGGGGCCTCGGGATCAAGCTTGTCGACTGTGGACTCGAGTTCCTCGATGCGCTGCTCGCGAGCCTGAAGCTGCTCCTGCAGGACCATGATAGATTCGCGAAGGGCTTGCGGCGAGATCTTCTCCGGCAGCTCCATGCCCTTGGACACAGCAGCGGGCGCGGCAACAGGCGTAGCAGCCTTGGGCTGAAGGGCAGCCAAAGTCTGAGTTGGCTCGACGCCGGCTGACTTGGCCGCCTGAACAGCAGCACGGGCCGCCTCCCTGGCAATCTCGACCTTCTCCTCGAGATGAGCAATGCGGTCTTGCAGATGCTCGGTCTTGGAAGTAGAAAGGCTGAGACGCTCAAGCAGGTTCTGCTCCGTCTTCTGGGCGTCTTCGACGGCATTGTTAAGTTGTCGTTCCCAGCGATCCTGGATATCCTCCACTTCGTTCTGGTGCTTGCGCTTGAGATCCTCGATGATTTGATTCTCGCTGGCCTGAGCAGCCTCGGCCATCATCTCGGATTGAGCCTTGGAAGTCTCCATATCCATGGTAAGCTGGTCATTGTCTGCGCGGAGCTTAGCGATCTGCTCCTCAAGCTCCTCACGAACGACATTGACATGGTGGTTGGCCTGGTCAATCTCGTGCTGCATGGCGACGCGAGTGCGCTGGACCTCGCTTGCGCCGGACTCTCTGGCCTCCTCAAACTCGCGTTGGTACCTCAGAGCGGACTGGTGCAGCTTGTGGTTCTCGGTCTTCATCTCACCAAGAATACCCTCGAGACGCTTGCACTCATTGACAGCACGCATGCCTTGGCGTTCGCCACTCTCCAGACGCTCAAGCTCGGTCTCAATGCGCTCGCGAGTGCGTGCCTCGGCTTGGAGCTTGGCATCAAGAACCTCTTGTCTGGCAACGAGGGCTTGCTCGCGCTTAGTGCGACGAGCATTCTCCTCAGTGACCTCACGAGCAGCATGCGCCATGTCGTCTTGGAGGGCAACAAACCTGGCACGCCAGCTTTCTCTGACGCGCTCGTTCTCCTGCAATTGAGTGCCGAGGGTGTCAAGGAACTTCTGCAACTGCTTGTTCTCGTTGACGGTCTCGTTGAGGTCGATCTGCTGGCGGCGGGCGGTTTCAACGACGCGCTCAGCCTCGGATCTCCAGCGGTTGGCTTCGTGAGTAGAAGCCCGAAGCTCATCTTCCATCTGGTTGATCTTGTTCGTAAGCTCAGTCTGCGACTGGGTGGCACTCGTCTGCGCGGCCTCCATAAGCGCCATGCGCATTGTCTGGTTGGATGTGCTCTGCTCGAACGCCTTGATCTTGTGTTCGCGCTCTTCAACATCCTCACGGAGGCGGACTTCCTCCTCGGAGGCGATGCGAAGCAAGCGCTGGACCTCGGAAAGTCTATCTTCGGCGGTACGGCGGCCCTCAAGTTCTTGCTGGGCTCTCTCCTCCTGATGCTTGAGCTTCTCCTCCAAGTCGTTGATGCGGTTGTCGAAAATGCTGCGATTCATGATTTCAATCTCAACACGAGACTCTGCTGCTTGCAGCTTGCGTTCAAGCTCGGATGCGAGATCTTGAGCGTCACGACGGTCGGCGACCTCCTTCTCAACTCTGGTCTGCTCGGCGTAAAGACGCTCCTCGAGGTCGATAACCTTAGCCTGAAGCTCGCTGAGCTTGTTGTTGACAGCCTCATCGGATTCGCGGTCAGCCGCAGGCAGCTGAGATGGGGTTGGCATGCGCTTCTCGACGGCTTCTTCGACAATGTTGCGGAGGTCCTCGCCACGGAAGTCCAGACGCATCGAAGCGCCAAACTGCTCTCTCATTTCTTCCAAAGCACGGAGGACGGCGACACTGGTCTCGTCAGATGGAGGACTAGAGGCTGCCACAGGAGCTGCAGGAGTAGGAATGTTGCGCTGCTGGACTGCGAAAGCATCCAGTACGGCGGCACGAATGTGCTCCATACGTCTGTCGCGGCGCGGGCTCATAGAGCGACGAGGCACAGGCTCCTCATCCTCGTCGTCAGCATCACTGTGCTGAATCTCTGCCGAGACACTGCGACGAACAGAGGAAGACGCCCTGCGCGAACCGCCACGGAGCGACTGCTGAATAGAGAGCAGAACCTTCTCCATGGGAGCGAGGCGGGTAGCAAGAAGGTCGTTGACACGGTCATTGACGCGGCCATCGAAGAACTGCACACGCTGCTCGAGCTTGGCCTGCTCCTCATCGCTGAAAGCTCCTTCCCAGTCGCTCTGCTCTGCACTTCCGATGTTGAGGTTGGTAATGGGAGCATCGAAGGACTGAGCGCTCAGAGGAGGATCGATGAAAGGATCTTCAAGCTCTGTAGAGGGCAAAGCAGACTCGCCAGGGAGCCCTTGGTAAGAGCGGGTAGGGCTCGAGGTACCGCTGCGGTATTGTCCGGTGGCGGCGGGTTGCAGACGGTAGGGCGAAGTGTGGGTGACCTGGATGTTTCGGTGCGGGCTCGCAGGTTGATACCTGAGATCGATGTTTGACCTGTTCACGCCCAAGGTAGGGTCGTTCTGGTTGAGGTGATCCATGATGGCATCGATTTCCTCAAAGGTGGGTTCACGGATCTCTCCGTCCTCAAGGGACTCGGTTTCCTCCTTTTCGTTGAAAGTCAAAGCAGCAGCAGCCTGCGACTCGTCGAGGTACTCAGCGTCGGACACGACATAGTCTTCAGGCACCTCAGACTCGTCTTGCTCAGGCTCAGGAGCTGGCGAGGGGGATGCGGCGAATCGAGAAGCCGCAAGACCCTTAGGCTTAGGCGGGCTGGCGAAACGGGAAGCACCCAATCCCTTGGCCTTCTTCGGCGGCGGCGTCGGTGCACGCGGGGAGGGCTCGCGGTGAGGCGAGGGAGCAACGGCCTCAGTACTGGGGACGAACGGCTCGATGGTGTCTTCTCTATCACGTTCATCCTCATCCTCCTCTTCAGTCTCGGTCTCCTGTGCAGGAACACCCCAACCGCCACCGGGAATAAATGCCCTAGCAGTGGCAGAAAGCGACTTGTTGTGGCCCTTCTTGTAAGTGTCGATACCAAAAGGTCTGGCTTCGTCAAAGTTCTGCAGCTCGTCCTTGGAGTCAAACTCGAAGGGGGCCCAGTTTGATTGCTGCTGGTCAGGCGAAGTGTCTGAGGGGCTGGTAGCAGTGACAGCCTTGGAATCCGTGGGCTGCTCGGAGGCTCCAGTAGAAGACATGGTCGTGTCAGCTGGCGTAGGAGCCTGCTCGTCACGTTCAGAAGCCTCCAGTTCGTCCTTCTGGGAGACTGGCTGCAAAGACTGGTACGAGGTGGGCTCAGGCGAAGGCTCTGCGAATTGAGGCACATCGTCTCCGTCTCCACGGGAAGCCTTCGCTCTCTTGGCGCGGATATCATTGACCGGACGACCGTCAGCGTCTTCCGTCAGTCCATCCTCATTCGATGTCTTATTGTCGCTGCTGCTGGGACGAATAATAGGAATAGCCTTGGACTTCTTCGCGGTCTTTCCAGTGTCAGAAAGGTTCAGATCAATGTTGCCAAAGATCGAGCCATGAGTCGCGTGGCTCTCGCTACCCGATGTAGGGCTGGCAAGAGAATCCGAAACATTTCCGAATGGTGTGAAGGCGGGCGCGTCTGGTCTGAACTTGGGGCCAGAAAAGCTAAAGTCGCTCTGACCAGGTGAGAAGACAGGGGCAGCAGCATTAATCTTGGATGAAGTGGATCCTGCACCAAACGAGTTCGCCGAGGGCGAAGTGATGGACGGCGCAAAATTGCCTGCTTGGAATACCGTGGGCTGGAAAGGCTGGAAGGCGTTGGTGTTACCACCGCCAAAGCTAAAGCTGGTCTTGGACTCGTGGCCGGGATTAAACTTGAACTCAGGAGCCTTGACATTGAGCTTAGAGAACGATGGCTTGCTAGCATGGCTGCCTCTTCTCTGCTGGCCAGAGCTGCTATTGTTCGATGCCACATCATTCCACGGGTTGCTCTGCGTGGAGAACGATCGCTGGTGCTGTTGCAGAAGCGTCGTGAGGTTGAAGTCTTGCACAGGCGTACCAAGGTTGCTGGGGTTTGTCTCGATTTCAGCGGCCTCGTCGATCCTCTGCGAGTCAACATCGTGCCAGCCAGAGAAGCTGTCAGTTCTCGGCCGGTTCTCATCGTGATGAGCAAAGAAGTTTTGTGACAATGAGTGGCCACGGCTGTGAGGGCGCGGGTGGTGTAGGACTGGACCGTTGCCATCCTGCTTGGCAAATTGCTGAGGCTGGAAGTCTTGAGGTTGGAATTCTTGGGGAACGAACTCCTGAGGCTGAAACTGTTGAGGCTGGAAAGCCTGGGGAACGAATTCCTTGAAGTGAACAGATGGCTCTCTTGCGTGAGACATAGGGGGTTGCTCGTCTGGGATATGCGCGAATTGCTCAGCTGCAGACTCCGCGTTGTGGGGACTGTAGTCAACGTGCTCCAGTTCGTTCCGCATCTGTTCCTCGAGATGGTACTCAGCCTCGTCGATCTCGGCCTGGAGATCATCGCTGTTCCTCTGCGCTGCCTCAGACGGCTTCGGGGGCTCCTCGACGGCCTCCTCTTCTTCTTCATCTTCTCGCACTTCCTGCAGACGAGGCGACGCTCTAGCAGGCTGTTGTTGCTGCTGCATGAATTGATGAGGCAACATCGGGTATTGCAAAGACTGGTGTCTCTGGTGCGCATTGAACGCAGGGCTACCTGTTGGCGCAAAGCCCTCCGGAGTAAAGGGAGAAACAGGAGAAATTCCATTGAGCAATGACGGCGAGTCGGTTCTGTGCTGGCCCCAACCGAGGGGTGACGGCTGGTTGCCAAGCTGGAAAGGCGAATGTCCCATGGGAACCGAGATGGACTGTCGGGCGTTGTACTTGGCCGGATGACTGCCAAATCCGACAGGTGAAGCAATGCTGGGGCTATGAGTGTGCGACGCGCGTCCGGGCATGAACTGCGACGGGAACGGGAAGCCCGCATGGTTGCTTGATGCCGACGACGTCGGAAGCGGCGGAGAGAATGGCAAAGGTGGGTATTGCGCAGAAGCCTGTCGGCTGGGCTGCGATGCGGCCGGCGAAATCGAGGGTGCCGGTGGCTCGTCGTCTCCAAAGGACACTCCGAGAGCTCGCAATTTGGCTTCGTTGAGCTCATTGACATAGTTTTTCCAAGCGTTCAAATCAGGCAATGTGACCTTATACACACGCTCCGCACGCTCGCGTGCCATGTCTTCGAAGGAGGGCCATCCGTCTCGACTTTGAGAATATCCGGTCGGTTCTTGGTATGTGCCCGCCGCTGCGTCCAAGTCAAAGCCGCTGATGTCGTATCCAAGCTCTTGCCATTCTCTGAACATTCCTTCGACTTCAGTCTGGTTGAGAGGCCGAGGCGCTTGGCCAGGACGTCCACGTTCGTCGTCTCTGGGAAGAAGAACCATAATATTCTTGCCCTTCCACGGAACCTTCTTCTTCACTCGGGGGGTCATGGTCGGCTCTTTGAAATTTACCCTCGCAGATGCGCTCCTCTTTGGTGTGATAGGCGTCCTCGTTGACTCGCCGGTGGCGGCACTGGCGGCCCTCCGGGGGGTCGAGGGAACATGCAGATCTGGATGTTCGGCGGCCATGTCGGCCTTGGAGAGTTCGGGGCTCTCCATATTTGCGTTTGGTGATTTTGCTTGTGGCGTCACGTCACCCGGCTTGAGGGTCTCGGCGCTGGACCGGGTACGGGGGTGTCGGGGTGCCAAATGCGGGTCGCGGGCGGCGCGACGTGTATTGGCTTTCGGTGTTCGCAAAGACTCCTTGTCTCGCCACGCAGCTTCGTCTGCGGATCCTGAGCCGCTCAATGAAGAGTGCTCACTACCGTCGCTAAACCAGTGGCGGCTTTCTGAATTCTCGCCGGCGGTGTGCTGGCGAATCCAATCCTCCGTCAGTCGTCGCGGTTGCCGTCGGGCGCGATTCGCAAGAACTTGGGCTGCGCTAAGATACGGTTCGGCGTCGTTGCCGTCTAGGTCTGCCGCGTCGTCGTCGGAGTTCTCTCCAAGAGTCAAATTCGGAGGCGGACGAAGAAAAGGGGTATCAATCGCAAGATGGTGGAGTATTGGCGAGCCGTCGGATTCGTCCTCGTCGCTGTCGAAGCTCTGGTCTCGAAGATTCCTCGTTTCTTCGGTGGAATAAGGCGAGCCCCAACTTGCAGTCACGTACTCTTCTTCTGGTTGGTTGTTCCTCAAAATATCCCTGGCCCGGTCGGGAAGCCTAGGGGCAGGAAGCGGAGGCAGAACGGGGGAGGACCCGAGGTCCTCGCCGTCGGCGGCAGTAGATGTGGACGAAAGAGCGGGAGACGTCGGAGGTGATGGCCGACGAGGTCCAAAGCCGTCCTGTGCAGAAGCAGCAGGAGGAGGGATGGTCGGTTCCTGGTGAGGAGACGTTTTCGTGGGACTCTGTGCAGATGGAGAAGAGAGGTCAATGTGGCGTTCTTGTCGCGCGATGAAGGTAGGTACGTGTCGGGCCAGGAATGCTGGCAATGTTGCAGATGACTTACCACGGTGAGATCAGCGCAGACGATTGAGTCGTCTGCAGCCAAGTCTCTGTTTTCGCGTCGAGGACCCTTTGTTCAACAGCCCTCTCTCGTTCGTGACAGCACGCACTCACAAAAAGCAGGCCGCGAGAAAAAGAGCGAACGGACGATGCTGTCGAGGTGTTGTTGACAGGAATAAGGGGGTGGAGGAGAGGGAGGGCCCGTGTAATTTGAGATGGGGACTCGCTCTGTGTATATTTGGGGCCCGGCGGTTTTTTTGGTCGCGACGCGTATTTTTTTGGGCGGGTGTGGCAGAAAAAAAAAGACAGCCCAGCAGGAATAAGGTATTATTTGCACAGGTTGCGCGCCCCGGTTCAGGGATCACAGGACGGGGGTTCGTTGCAGAAGTGAACTGGGGAAAATTATCGAATAAGGAGCGACATAAAGGCGGAAGCAGAAAGACGGCGGCGGCGATTCGTAGGTACCGGACGCATCGGGATCACAGCTCGATAGCTTGACGATGTGAGGAAGAGATGTGATCTGGATGTTTTGACAGGGTGTCGGAGGGGGGAAGGAAGACAGAGGAGGGAAGAAGGAGGACAGGACGTTCTAGTGTGACGCGAGGTGTCGGGAAGGAGGTGAAAAGAAAGCGAGAGGACTGGATGGGCCGGGGGAGGTTGAGGTAAGGCGATGCAGCCAAAGGCAAGGTCAAGGTCCAGGGCAAGGTAAGGCGAGAGGCAAGGACGGACAACGGGAAGCTACCTCGTGCTTGGAGATGGGTGCCAAGTGGTGGTTGAGAGTCGATACATGCACAGACATCGAGCCGCGGACCAGACGATTTAGGCAAGGTACAGGTACCGGCACGGATAGCGTACAGGAACGGTGCAGGTAGGTAAACCGCGGGCAGTTGATGTCTGTTGAGGCAAGAACACCTAGCATCATCATTGAAGCTAGGTAGGCAGCACTTGCCGCACCTCTTTCATCATCTCTCAAGACTTCGAACAGAGAGCCAGCAGAGCACAAAACAGACCCGTCAATTTACACAGGCCGCAGTCCCATAGAAGCAGCACATCAGGCACGCAATGATGGGATGGGACACGATGGGCCTGGACGTGGGATTCCTTGGACCGCTCTCGTGGGGCCAGTACCAGTGGCACCAAGAGATTGGCCGCTGTCATCTGCACATGCACAATCGCCGGGATCTCCTTCTGCTGGAAGCAGCGATCAACCACCACTCGAAAGACTCGGCATCCAGGTGCATCCAGACACAGGACAGCTGGCACTAATCACTTGCACGAATGACGAGAGGACCTTCCGTCTCCCTCTGTCCCAAATCCACAACGAATTTTGGGGAGAAGGAGCGAACGAACAAACGGGGGACCCTGCCTGCCTTCCTTCCACACTTTCCAATGGGATGGACTGGGGCAAGGCCAAAAGCCAGGGACAGGCCGGCAAAAAAGACGCCAACGGCACAGGTGCAGTGAGCGGCCCATGTTTGTTTTAATGAGCATCCCCGCTAAGGCCACGGGACCGAGCCCGCACGAAGCCAATCTCGTCTGGCTGGGCCGATGGGGAGTACTTTCTTTTGACCCATTCCCACCAGCAAATAACATGTATCTTCTATCGACCCGGCCCGTCCCCCCGGACTCACCTCCCTTCTTTTGCATCACTTTCCAGCCGTGGGTGATTTCCGCCGGATGAAAGCCCCGCTGCTTGAATTCCTAGACGACATCGTATTTGCCAATGGCTCGATGACGGCCCGCGATGCTGGATCTTTTCACGTGTTGAGCTCTCTCCTCCGACTGCACGTGTGCAAAGCAGCAGCCAGATATTTCCTGCTTCACTGCAGTACTGGAAAATGGATCCGAGCCACATTGACACTTCCCATCGTCGTCGTCGTCTCGACCTGCCTGATCCTGAAGTGAGCTTCAACCTTCCACCTGCCCCAGTGGCCCAGACGGCGCTGCTGTCACGGACTTTGTGGCTTGCTGCCGGAGAGGAGCGCAGCTTGCATGCTTGCATGCGCTTGATAGCTAGACGGGTCCCCTTTTTTGCCGATGCTTTGCATGATGACAGGCAATAGTCCCCTCTGCGGGCTGCATTTGGATGGATTCAATCCTCTCGGGACACTTTGAGGGTCTTTTCAGCACAATTGCAGAGCCGCATGGAGCAATCGTAGACATAAGGGTGGTCGCCGCCAAAAATGCCGTCATCAAAATCTTTCTCGGGATTTTGGACGTGTCATCCAACTTCGAACATGCAGGACATCGTATCCAATGTGTGCATGCCGGTTTGGATAGGTGGTCCAAGAGAAGACCCATCTTCAGCTGAAAGCCATTTCATCCAGTCTCCCATACACACGAATACCCGTATCCGAACTTCAGCCCATCCGTAGCAAAACATGCAGGAGCAAACAGTTCAAACCACTTGCCAATTGGGATGTTTGTTTCAATCCGAGACATTGTCTTTTCACAGCAAGGCGGGAGAAATAAACGCGGTTCAGATAGACAAAACGCGTCGAGGAAAAAGACACCAAAACCGGGGCCGAGAGGGAGCTTGGGGCAAAAACATTCCAGCACCGAAAACAACGTTGTTCCTGGAGTTTGGCAATGTTAGATTGTTTAGTTCATGTGGCTCGTGTGGCTCATTCATTTGGTACTCTTGCAGGTGCTTCCCGGTTCATGTAGGTTTGCTTAAATGAAGCCGGCCGGCACGCGGCAAACTCACACAAATGTCCGTTTGGCTGTCCGGTGCCAGCTTCCATGCGAATTGCGATCACATCTCGTTTGCTTTATAGCCGACCACTTTTCATCTACAAAGATGAGGTCCGGCCCATCTTGACAAGTGAGGCGTTGGAGTATCACCAGTCTCCATTTCCTCCCAGTCCCCGCTACGCTAAAAATCTGGTCTTGCTTAGTGCCAGTCAACCCCCCTTTCAAGAGATACCCACTCGAGTGAGGGCATTCGCACATCTCGACCGTCGCATACTTCACCATACCAATGCATAATGTTTGGATCTTCATAGTATAAACCTTGAATTCATCTCCAGGTGCATTATTCATCGTGAAAAGCTTCACACCCGCCAGACGGACAACCGCCGGATATCAACCTCACTCTTCTTTCTCAGAGAGCCAAAACGCCGAACCCCAGCCCTAGTCGAGCAACTCAAAATCAACCCCTCTTATCTGTTGTTTTCATCCTCACTGCTCCCTCCTTGGCACGCTGAAAACTGTCGAGCCAGGCAGCCATCCCATATACACATGCCGTACATCATCCGGCCAAACCACATCATACATTGTCATTGAAAAAATCGGGACATCCCACAAAGAACCCCTCAAGGATCGCAAAAGATGTCAAAGTTGCCATCCGATCCCGCAAACACCGGATCGCCAAAGCTCTGCTTCGATGTCGAGTCAATGGCAGACCTGCATTCGGCTACAGCCAACGAATGTCAGCCACCAAGTTGCACAACCTCCAATCACATTACACCAGCGCACTTACTAGCTTGCTCATCGCACTTGGAAACGTCAAATTTTGTCGCCGCGTTGTTGGCCGCTTGAGAGCATTTGTTCTTTTGATTGTCGCAAGACCTGCCAGCCGCGGTTGCAAAGTCCGGCTGCGATTGACCATTAGCACACCACTCTTCCAGTTCCTCTTCCAAGCTCAGGGAACTTACAAAAGTGTCGCCGTCGACCTCAAATGGTCGGCCTGGGTCATTGGACTTGGTAATCTGTAACAGCACCCCGTCAGTCAAGAATCCTTCCATCATTCTTCCCAAGACTGATCCTGATCCTGAAACCGAGCTCGCGCCACACGAAGCCACCAAAGCCTCGTTGCAAACAAACCTCGAGCCTCCTTGACCAGAAACCGCGGGGAAAAGAAGAAAAGACGTACTGCTGAAGCCGCGACACCGCCAAGGTTCCCTGTGAACGTCTGCAAGTTCTGCGTTGCCTGCCTCGGCAACAAACCCATCTTCCAGCCCATCTGCAGTTCCTCGTGGATGTCGAGCGCCCTCGCGCCAGCGCCGGCGCCCGAGAGCACGAGCACCACCGCCGAGAGTACGTGTGCTGATATCGTCCGCATCGTGGAGGTTCGTTATGGTCTTCGTCCTTATCACGGGGATTGGATTATGCAATGATATGCTGCGGGGTAAACCGTAAAAAAAGAAACCTTCGAGGTCTTTGTCGAGCGTTCGTCGCCTGTCACCGGCGCATCGATCGGGGTAGGAATGGCCTCGGGTGGATTACGAATAGAATTGGTCGGTATCGAGGCTCAACCTCTTTCGTGATGCGTCGTCAACGAGCGCGGTTGGTAATGGTCGGATGTGATGGTTGAACGAAGGAATCGGCGCCGCCAGCACTCAATTGGCACAGAGCAAAAGCAAAGAGGTCGAAGACGCGAGAGCGTTGGAAGGGCATTAAACTCTCTTTTGCTCCTTAGCTAACGTCGACTAATGTTCGGGGGGAGGGAAGGGAAGGGAAGCGAACGGGGACACAGACACACAAGCAGGGCGGGCGGGTAAGAAGAAGACGAAGAAGCACCGCATGGAATCTGAAACGTCGAGATCCCAAGCGCCCACAAAAAGCTGGGATGCAACACCACCACCGCAACCCGAAACACCACTGAGACTGGAATAATATTATGACGGTCGGGCCCGTCCACGTGATATTGGGTGTGCTCGCGCTGCACGCTCTTTGCCCAGACGGGATGGCTGCCCGGATGGACGATCCTGCCGCGGCCACGGTTCATCAGATGGCAGGTTGGAGTGACGGACGATCAATACTGGGGATGAATGTTGGATGACGGAGGGAATAGAGTTTGGGTAAGGGTTCGGGTGAACTTTCTCTGATTGCCCCTCCGCAGGTTGAGTTGAGGTTTTGTCACTGTCACTTCATTTGGATGCATGTCACTGGCGCAATTCACGATAGAAGAGTGCTTTGATCCCATAATTTTGGCGGTCCTAGTATTAAAGTTGTATCTGAACGTACATCCAAGCCTGTGAACCCAGTAGATTTTGTTCATCAGACTTGCCGTCAATGTGTTTTCTTGTCCAATTTTTCTGCTGAGGCGATTTCATGTCTTGATGTGCGACTCGACTGAAACCCAGTCGGCGACGATTTGACCATGATCATCCCAAGCCCATCTGCGACAATAAGAAGGGGGAGGACTCTCTGTTCTATTTACATAAGTCTATCCATTAGTCCTTAGACTCTGCGATAAGCAACCATGCCTGCCGTGGTAACAATAGTTGATTCGGTCCGAAACTCCGTGTAGCCGGTCTTAAAAGTAGAAAAAAAGCTGTGCCGGCCGTAACGTATGGGGATGTAAGAATAATCATCGAAGGTTTGTGCCTTTTGTAGGCTAAGGACCGTGGGGAATCAACGCTTTCTGCCGCAAGAAACAACAATCATCAAATGCTTGACTAACGCACGCCGCTTTAGAAGTTGGACGACGCGTTGACCTGGCTTGGTGCGTGGTAGCTTTCGAGGGTCGACTGGAAAGGCGTGCGGCCGGTGGAACCCTGGGCGCTGCCGACCTCGACCTTGGCCTCGTTGCCGTACTGGTTGTTGTACTCCATCAGGCCGTCGTTCTCCTCCGCCTGCTTCTTCTTGCCCCAGATTCTCCAGGCAACGAAACCCAGAGCGCCGAGAACGATAGCACCACCGACACCAACAACAACACCAATAACGGTATTGCGGGTTTGGGATGACATGCCGGAAGAAGAGGAGCCGGAGTTGGACTCGTTAAGTCCGGGTGTGCTGGTGACGGTCGACTCGGAAGTGAAGGAAGTGGCAACGCCAGCAGAGTTGGTCGTTGTGATAATGGTCCTGATGGTGGAGGTAACGGGCTGAGCGGTGGTAGAGGGAGTAGAAGAAGCAGCCTCGCCACTCGCGGTATCCGAGTTTCCGGCAGCAGATGTAGTGCTGGTCCTCAAAGTCGTGGACTCAGCTGAGGCAGCCGGTGTGGTCGTCGTCGCAGCGGGAGTGGTCGCGCTGGGCGTAGCGGCCGGGGTGGTCGTGGTTCTGGCGGCGGAAGGAGTGGTTGTCGTAGCAGCAGCGGCTGATGTGGTTGTAGCTGCGGCAGCAGATGTTGTCGTCGTCGCGGCGGCGGCGGAAGTCGTGGTCTCGGCGGCAGCAGAGGTGCCTCCTGACTGTCTCCTCATGAGCTCATCGCGAGCTTCCTCCTTGTGGAAGTTGAACCACGAGGCCTGGGCCACAGAGGCGGCCATGAGGACCTGGAGAACCAGCGTAGGTTGCATTTTGAGGTGAAGTTCGGTGATAATTCAAAGGATGTGGTGAGATTCGCGGTGTCGGGGAGGGTAATATCCGATTAGATATTCGCCCGATTTCCAAGTCCCGTCACGTTCGTTAAATGGTTCGGGTGATGGTTGATCGACTGCCTAAATGCCCAACACAACTATGATGGGACTAGAGACAACTCGTGGCAAAGATGAGTCGACTGGAATTTCGGAAAGTTATTGCCCTGAGCCGGTGGGTACGAAAATAGGAGACCGGCACGGACGGGTTCGCGGAGAATTCGTAGGGTTGTAGGCGAGTGACTCGAGAACCTTGGCGGAAGCGACCGAGGTTAAGGGTAATAATGGATCGTTGGGTGAAGTTGATGTCGACGGTAATTCAAGGAAAACGAGAGGAAGAGGCCAAGAAGAGACGCAATAGGAAAAGTAGCGAGTGAATGGATTTTTATCAAAGGATGAGGGTTGAGAAGGGACGTGTGGGAACGAGCGGGAAGAGCAGAAAAACAAGACTCGTATTCAACGAAGAAGAGGGTGGTCTGTGGCCTAGGACTGGTCTGTGGTCAGGAGCAGGCGCAGGAGCTGGTGCAGGTGCCGGTGCCAAGCAGGAAGAGCAAGCGCAAGGTAGGAGGGCAGAACGGAACAGGGATGGCCGGGGGAGACGGGGAGGGTCTTTTCTCTCCGTCGCACTGTCCGTGTGGTGGCTTGGAAGACGTCTCTCTGTCAGTCACCAGGCAGTCTGGAGTCTCTCTGGGCCCGTCAATCAAAGGGAAACCCATGGAACATGGCCCAAAGACACCCACTACGTTGCACAGGGAGAGGGCGAGAGGCGGGGGGAGGTGCCGGGATGGTGCAAGGGACAACGTGGTGGCGGCCAAAAAGCGACAGTACGTACCGCCTCACTCGCGAAAGTGACGAGATGCCTGAGGACCCAGGACTCAATCATCTCAGATTTGTCGGTTTCCTGCGGAATAACGGTTGCTCATTGGTTGCAGTGTGGAACCCTTGGCCCGTCACTGCGCGGTGGCACACACCAGGATCGAAGCTGCAGCCACTCAGCGCAGGACAATTTGTGGCCCCACTTTGACACCCACAGTGCATCCGGTGCGTGGTTTGGTGGTGGTGCACCCGTGGGCCGTGGCTGTCCATAGTGTCTCTGCCCACCCACTTGGGCAGTCAACACCACACCTCAGTTGAGTGTCGGCAACTCCTGGCTCCTGGCACGCACTGTTTTCCACCCTCGCAGGGCTACTGTTCCCACCGAAAATGTGGCCGAGACTCTGAGGGCAGCCCAGCGGAAAACGTTAGCAAAGAGCCCAACTGTCAGCGACATTTAGCGGCCAAGTGGTTGGTAAACGCCCCTTCTAGGCCTTCTGGATCGCCAGAGTAGCGGTTCCAGGCTCTTCCTCGCCTGCATCGCCTGCACAGCAGACTTGCATTGCTGCTGCGCTGCTGCTGCTCCTGCCGCCGCGGCGCATTCCTCCTTCAACGGCAGTGTCAGTTGGCGCTGCCATTGCATCGTTCTCTTCCTGCAGGCACGAGATGCAACAAGCCGACGTTAGATCGCGCCAGTTCTTTCATCACCAGACAATGGAACCAAAAATAACACCATCATCATCAGTCGGCCCGGCTGTCGCTCTCCATACACTATTTCATTACTTACCTGCTCGTCTGCCGGCGCCGTTGACAATGACTCCCAGTCGGTCGCCGTTGCGGTAGCAGCACCTGCACCCAACAGGGTAAGAAGACAGGGCCCAGGGGAACCAGTGCAGCAAAGGCGTCGGCGATGCATGGCGATGGCGATGCGCTAACCGCCCAAGCTTTGGCTTCTGTCTTGCATCTTCGTCTCCTTGCAACCGAAAAAGGAAGGGAATCGCGATCTTCCTCGTCCCGCTTCGCGATTCGCCCGCAGACCGGTGCAAACTCTGTCTGTCATGCCATCCACGTCGAGAGTCAAGCATTGCATGCGCAGCAGCCCATCACCACCAAGCAACGCGAGCAGAGAGCATTACCAATACCGCGTGACGGCGTAAACACCAACCCGAAGCCCTTCAATGGCCCGTCAGCAAACACAACGGACCACTTCCACTGGACCCCGGCCGGCCAGCGCAATGCCAATGCAACATGCCTGCTCTGGGCCGATCTCTGTCTCTATTTTCAGCACCGACCCGTCACTCTTGGCTCCGTCTTCACCTCCACACCTGGCCCAGCAGAACCCGGCGCCATTCCCTTCAGGGTCTTCCAAAACATATCCACCGTCCCGGGGGGCCCTCTTTGCATTCGTCATTCCTGCCCGCCCCGACGAGAAATCCGGATTCCACACTTCTTCGAGAACTCGGCAATCCTCGGTCGCTCGCCATCCACCGCCTCCCTTTTCGCTGGAGAGAACGGCGATGCAGCCTAATACGTGAGGGGTCCTATTGACAGCGGATCAGGGTCCTGAGAACCGACCAAGAAACACAACCACATGTCACCATGTCATGCACATCTCCAGTGTCGAGCATCGCCTCAACGGGCACCCAAGCATTCGCCCTTCTGCAGCGGCCGACGTCACTTCCATGCTTGCCATGCTTTTATGCTTCACCGATGGTATTGAAGCCTGCACCATGATGCTATCGTCGGGCAGCTCATCGAGTCGAGCAATGCACCAGTGCCACTTGTGGCGGGAGGCCCTCGGATGTCGGCTTGGCCCGATCTGCCATGTTCCTCGACTCACCAAACGCCTTTCCGTGCGTCATTGCTCGAGCGGGAACCGAATTCCAGATGAACCTCTCGACACCGACTTTTCCAAGCAGCAAAAACCTTGCGTCAAGAAAACATTGTTTCGCCCAGTTTTGCCATAAGGGCATCCTATGTTGGTGAGCAGAATATCTCCGCCTAAAACTCGTCTTTGTCATGGGTTCCTCCTCTTCCCACATCCCGGGAATATTGAATGGCTCTCCATAGAATTGGTGGGACGTAATCCGCTCAACAGGGACCGCCTGCAGCTGTGCAACCGGAGGAGCCGCTGGCTTCCGACGCCCGGACATCTGCACCGGGCACCCGCCTAGCCACCGCACGATTGCCAATGTGAAAACTTCCATCCCGGGTCAGTGGGCTTTTGGTTCCAAATATCCTCGAGAGCGCACCTGAAATCAGTTGGCTGTGAAACTCGAGCCAAAATAAACCTGATTACGATGAGAGGTTTTAAGCTTAATATTGAGTCTAAACAGTGTCGGGAAAGGCCTCCCAATTGGCCTGCCACCATGAACATGTATCTTTAACAGCATCGTCGACGGCGCTTTGCACACCAGCCACGTCCAGAGTCCATGCCGTGGACTTGCTTCCTACTTTTGGAAAAACGTCAACCCCCGAGACGTCTGTCGTCGGCTTCCCGCTAATGGCATACGACACCATACAGTCCTGCAAGACCTCTGCGATCGTCGCGTTGAGAGAACGGCTGTCCATCTGTGCTCCATAAGCACCATTATAGAAGGTGTACTTGAGGTCGTCTCCATGCGAGGACGGCGGGACAGCAAAGATATAAGCCAAGCTCGCGTTCCGGAAGGCTCGGCGGAGGAAAAGGGTGTTGCAAACGATCCGAGTCTTGGCCATCAAGAGAGCACCCCGACCCAAATTGTCGATGTACGGTTGGATACCATCAAATACAGGAGGATAGAGAATCTCGGCAATGTGCTCGACCAACGTCGCGTTGAAGCTTGGGAAGAGCTCACTGATGAGTCCTCGAAAAGCGAGGCCGTCGGTGACACTTGGGTCAGTGAAGATTAGCCCTTCGTTCGCGTTGTGGCTGAACACCACATAAAGATATCGATCGAATTGACCACGGGCGAAGAGAGTTGCCTGGTGAGAAGGCACGTAGCCATGGTCGATGACGGGGTTGTAAGTGAACTGGCCATACGGCGATTGCGCGACTTGTTGACTGTTGGCGGCTATGAGTGCTGACGATGGCAGCTTCCGGGCTTCGGCAAGCGTTGAGACGTTCAGCAACGTGAGGAAGGTCGGGAGATTCTTCTCTTGTTGACTCGCATCCCGTGGGGAAGAAAGCGGGCGATTGTATGACGGCCCTGCGAAATGGGGCTGCCCCTTTGGTGCCCCCATACGCCTAGGAAGTACAGTGTCAGCAGGTGGTTCTCCGGCAAGACCTCAACCGTGCAAGGTGTTAGCGACTTTACCGTGATGTGATGTATCAGAGAGCCGCCGCCTGCGGACTCGCCCATGATGGTAACCTTCTTTGGATCGCCTCCAAATTTTGAAATGTGTTCCTGAACCCAATACAAAGCAAGCCTTTGATCAAGCAGCCCGACATTGGCAGCGCCGTCTGATTGTATCGTGGGCCCGGCTGACCAGCCAAAGGCTCCTAGACGGTAGTTTATCGCGACGAAGACCAGACCATCGGGCTCAAAGGCTGTCGCCTGCTCCAGGAGACCAGCGGGACCTCCGAACTGGTCCTTACTACCAGTGGTGTATCCGCCACCGTGGAACCATACGAGTACCGGTACGCTCGAGTCCGAGATGTTCGTGGGTCGATGTTGTTCAAAGGCCGACTTTGGGACCACGACATCGAGGACAAGGCAATCCTCATTTGTTCTCGGGTCTGGCTGACGGACGGGCGTCGTCGAGGTGTTCGCCGACCGCTGCTCTCGAAAAGCAGACGAGTTGAACGCGAGTCCTTGGGTGACGTTTGTAACGAAGGCGATGGCTTCCGATAACCATGCCGGCGAACTTTGGGGACACAGCCGTCCTGAAGCGCCGGTTTCGACAACGGAACGGCTCGTGGCTGGTGGTTCTGGCGCGCGGAAGCGGAGGTTATCGATTGGTGGTGCGGCGTACCGGATGTTTGAAAAGTTGTAGAAGCCTCCGGTTTGCTGTTTGCCGGCGACGTTCCTCCAAGTCAGACGCTCGCTTTACTTTCGAATGGCTCCTGTGAGTACCTTGACTTACGTTGCAGAAGGACGCTTGGTGAAGCCGGTATCCAAGGTCGACGATGGGAAGATCAGGGAGCCGGAAACAACTTGGATCCCAATTATAGAGCTCAGGACAGAATTTATGATCAGGCGCATTTTTGGAGGCTTCTGGGAGCACGAAGTATCTTTTCCGTTGTCTGCACAGATGCTGGAGGTCACCTCCTCCGAAAGACTTTATATCTTTGGCATCGTGATGCCCGAGACGGTTACACCCCTGGTATGGGATTGAAGACTAAAACGGATTTCGGGCACGGTATTTCCATATTTGTGCTCAATTTCGACTCCTTCCTCGCCGGAAACTTTGGCTAGAAGCAACGTAGTCATCTATACGATCACGCAATCAGGATATGAATAGTTGAAGTTGCTGGTTCAGACAGTATTCTATTAATTTGAGCTCGCCTCGTTCTTCTTTAAGCAAAATCAATGGTGAAGACCGGCATTGGGATATCAAAGCGACTTGATGGGTATTGAAAATTTTGCTTCATCGGCCATCTTGCGGCTTCAAATTTCCTCAGAGGCTGCCGGGTGCTGATTGTTGATATCTCCCTTACAACGGAGGTGATGCTCCTTTGCAATGTCGTTCTGGCAGAGATCGACGGACCGTACGTTCGAATTGTTTCCCTTTTGAGTTACCTTTGCTGTTTTAGAGCATTTGCCGTAACCAAAGTCCCTTCGCTTGTGTACTGCATGTCTCTTACCGCCAGCGACCTGCCTAAAATGCAATGTCCTGGTGGTCCAATGCCAGCCACCCGAGCGACTGTACACGGTTTCATAGATAAGGTAAACACTTCATAGGTACGTCAGCAACAAAATGTTTCCAAATCGCCCGATACCACCGATTCTTGTTACTGTGCTACGGTTGAAAGAAACAATCCCTAATCCCCACAGCCAAGAAATACCAGTTACACCAGATTGGCTTTACAGATCCGCCTAAGCACAATTCCCCCACACAGGATTATCATGAGTTCGGAGTCCTCCACTTTCACAGTGCACACCTCGTTGCTCTTTGATTCCAAGACCAAGTCCTTCGTCAAAAACACATCAATCGTCGTCAACAGAGCCCAAGGCATCATTGCCGACATTTACAAAAGGAAAGATGACGAGGAAATCAGTTTAAGGGCAGGCGACATTGACCTTCGCGGAAAGGTCGTCATGCCAGGATTTGTCGACGCCCACGCGCACGTCTTCTTGCATCCCTACGAGTGAGCAGGCATGAAAGTCATCCGCCGAAATTGGGCATTCACATCTGACACTCACCCAGCGAGGCCTCCTCAACCGTCCAGGAGCGCGACGAGAGCATTGTCGAACGGGTGGTCCGCGCCACCAACCACCTCCGCCTCGCGCTCCTGTCCGGGTTCACCACCTACCGCGACCTGGGGACGGAGGGCATGCGTTCGTTCGACGCGAACCTCCGCGACTGCGTCAACCGCGGCCTGGTGCCCGGCCCGCGGCTGTTCGTCGCTACGGAGTGCCTCGCGAGCACCGGGTCCTACGAGGTCCGCCACGAGAACGTGATGGCGACGATGCCGCGCATTGCGGATGTGTGCGACGGGGTTGCAGACGTCAGGCGGGCGGTTCGGCGGCGTGTGGGGGACGGCGCCGACGTGATCAAGTTCTACGCCGACTACCGGCGCAAGATTATGCGGTTCCCGCCTCCGCTGGTCCCACCGCGAGACGCCCCCCCGTTTATGATGACGGATCTCAACCCGGCCGTGACCATGTTCAGCCAGGAGGAGATGGACGCCATTGTGGAGGAGGCCAGGCTGGCTGATTTGCCGGTGGCTGCGCACACGACTGTGACTAAGAGCGCTCTGATGGCCATCAAGGCGGGGGTCGACACGATTGAACACTGCAATGAAGGGAACGACCAGGTTCTCCGTGAGATGCGTCGTCAAGGCACCATATATGTGCCGACGCTTTCGGTGGTAAAGAAGTCTGCGGATGGGCCGTACTTTGAAGATTGTCTCAAGAGAGTCAAGAAGGCATATGACCTCGGGGTACGTCTCGCTGTCGGCGGGGACACCGGTGGTCCGATCCCTCACGGAGAAGGCGCTCTGGAAATGGAGCTCATGATAAGAGCCGGACTGCCTGTCGTGGATGTCTTGGAAGCATGCATGGTCGGAGGCTGGGAAAGCTGCGGCAAGGAGAAGAGCGGCTTCCTCTTTGGAGCCATTGCGAAAGGACACAGGGCAGATATCATCGCCTTGGCTGCAGACCCCAGAGAAGACGCCGGGGCTCTGCGCAAGGTCGATTTTGTGATGAAGGACGGCAGAGTGTGGAAGCAGGACGGACATCCCGTCGGCTTCGTCGAAGAACCCCCCAGAGTTACGCCTCACCCCGCGGCCGATGGCTCCGACTGGGTTCATGTGTGAATGCCGTCATACATCTGGACAGCCCGCGAGGTTTCCTGTAAGGTAGCTTATAGCAGCGGCTGTTCACGCAGCGCAACCCATCACCGAACCATATACGAGGTTTCAATGCAACCAAACGACCAGTAGGGATGCCTTGTGGTCCTCGGCACTTGCACCAACTGGCGGTCTTGCCTCGAACATGCAAGCAACACGACGTTTCGTAGTAGTCGGCCGGAAGTTCTCATTAGTGCCAGCTCCCATGTGACCGTTTAATGCATCTTGGTCGCATTGCATTGTCGGATCCGCTTTCCGTCGATATCTTCGCCCTGCCGGAAGACAGAGCACGTCAAATAGTTGCATTCGCTACATTAGCACCAACAGATCTCCGCACGGTTGCCCGCAGGCTTAGCCGGTGAAGCTGCGGGAAAAGCTTGTTCTCTAGCTTACAACGCCGTTTTGGTAGGGCGACTTGCAGCATTGGACTGTGCGGAGAGTTCGCATGTCCCACGGGCATCGGACGATCGTTTCGTATGCGAAGTTAACGACACCTGTTCTTCCGGAAATCCTTTGAAGTGAGCCTTCTGGAAGGTGTCATGGGGGAGAGGGAGCTGCTCCTGATATGCAGTTCGCGAGCAGGCGGTTAGTAAGTCGCATGCATGGAAGGATGCTACCGCCACTGGGTACGCGCAGATGCCGTTTCTTTTTTGCATAAGTCGGAGTAAACGCAGACGGTAAACTATCGCTGCTTTTGCATTCTGGTTGAACAACTCCGTCACATTCAACGTCGCTCTTTTCGGTATCGATCATCTCAAGGGTCCTCGCCCGACAGAGTGAGGCCGGCGGCATATATGGCGTCCGAAGGCTGCCCTCTCTCCTCGCTGTAACGGCCGCTGCAAAGGCCTGACGCTCTTTTACACCTCCCTACACGACCCTGCCAAGGCAATCACAAATGTGGCTGTCAATACTTTCCTTCGCCTTTTTGGCCTTTGGGCTGTTCATCGACGGCATCTCAGGTCGCCTTCAAGTCATCGACAAGAGACAGTATCAGGATGTCGTCAGCTGGGATGAGCAGTCGCTCTTCATTAATGGAGAGCGGGCCATGATCTTTTCTGGAGAGATACATCCGTTCCGCATACCTGTTCCAGGTCTGTACCTGGATCTGTTCCAGAAAGTCAGGGCTCTCGGCCTCAACACCGTTTCTTTCTACGTCGATTGGGCACTCCTGGAGGGGAAGGAGGGAAACATCGTCACAGACGGCATATTCGATCTCCAGCCATTCTTCGATGCTGCGACGGAGGCTGGCGTCTTTCTCATCGCGCGGCCTGGACCATACATCAACGCCGAGGTCTCTGGCGGCGGATTCCCTGGATGGTTATCAAGACTGCGCGCTCGCCTGCGGACGAGTGATCCTGAGTTTCTTTCTGCTACGGATAATTACATGGAATCGATTTGCGCAATCATCGCCGATAACCAAATCACGAACGGGGGACCGGTCATCCTTTTCCAGCCGGAGAATGAGTACACCAACTTCGAAAAGGGGCGGTCTCCCGACGGGGAGTACTTTCAGTATGTCATTGACCAGGCCCGGAAGGCCGGTATCGTGGTTCCCATGATTAGCAACGACGCCAGACCTGAAGGCCACAACGCACCTGACACGGGGGTGGGTGCTGCTGATATTTACGGCTATGATGGATATCCATTGGGGTTCGACTGTGGTAATCCAGATGTATGGCCAGCTAACAAGCTTCCAACCAACTACCGCAGACTGCATCTGACACAAAGTCCCAATACTCCGAATTCCATCTTGGAGTTTCAGGGAGGTTCATTCGACCCGTGGGGCGGTCATGGTTTCGAAAACTGCGCTGCACTCACCAACCACCAATTTGAGCGGGTATTCTACAAGAACAACATGGCGGCGGGCGTGTCCATTTTTAACGTCTACATGCTCTTTGGGGGAACAAACTGGGGCAACTTGGGCCACCCAGGAGGCTATACTTCATACGACTATGGTGCCGCTATCAAAGAGGATAGAAGCGTCGCCAGGGAGAAGTACTCGGAGTTGAAGCTCGAAGCCCAATTTTTGAAGGTTTCACCATCGTACCTGACAGCAAAGCCAGTGAACCGGACTTCGTGGGCACTCAGTGGTAACCCAAGGATACTCATGACGTGGCTGCGTCAGCACGATGGGCCATCGTACTTTGTGGTTCGCCATAGAAACTACTCCAGCCTGGACACGGCGTACTACTTTCCGATATTGCAGACCTCAAGAGGGCCGGTACGACCTGGGTTTATCGGAAATAAGCTCCGGCTTGGTCCGCGAGATTCAAAAGTTCACGTGGCCGACTATCCTGTTGGGGACTGGACCTTGCTTTACTGTACTGCCGAAATCTTCACTTGGCAAAAGTTCGAGAACAGTACTATTCTGGTGGTGTATGGGGGACCCGACGAATGGCACGAGATGGCCATCATGGACACACTTGAACACCCGACATTTCAAGAGGGATACGACATCCACTTCAGATACTTCAAAGGTAGTTTGGTTCTGAAGTGGAAGACTTCAGAGCAGCGGCGGGTTGTCACGGTTGGTGATCTATGGATCTATATTTTGGGTCAGTATCTATGATTCAGAGCTTCTCTTGATGGCACAGCCGCTAATGTCTCCCAGATCGCAACTCAGCATATAATTACTGGGTATCCGACCAACCAGCCGAAGATGGCTCTTCCTATGGTACAACTATCATGAAT